CCCGCGACCCTAGTGAGGATTAAGTGGAGTGTAGATAATGGATGGATGGATGGACATCTGGAGAATCTACAACACGGAGCTAAATAATCATATTATGTCTGAAGGTTTCCATTGAGGGTCACAGAGTTCACGGTGTTTATTCATGTGACAAATTAATGCAGCAATGCAACATTAAATGAGCCTCTAATTGATGCAAATTTAATTTTTTTTCTGTTCAATCTAATTTGGCATTAAAATGATTAATCTTTTTGTTGAATGATGTCTGCCACAGTTATGGTATGTTTCAGCAGTTAGAATAATCCTCCTACAGTGATCCACTGGACCTGCTGTCTGCTCAGTGATGCATTCAGACTGTGTGTTGTTAAACAGGTGTCTTACCGGGTCAAGAGGAGCAGCAGCAAAGTGACCAGAGATGTTATTCACAGGCCACTGATACAGCAGGTCCTGTGGAACCAGTTACAATATAAACTTTATTTGTATAGCACCTTTTAAGAACAAAATTTGTAAAGTGCATTTATATAATAAAGAAAAAAAAACATGTATAAAAAGTACAGGCAAAAAATCACAATATAAAAATACACAATAAAAATGGAAAAGAACAGACTGGGTCACTATTGAAAGGTGTACCAGTAAAACTGATTAAAAAGACGACATGACAGAGGGGAATGAAGATATAAGCTGAAGATAAAAGTGGATTAAGAAAGAGAAAAGAGAGGATGGCAGGTAGAACCAATAAAAAAGGGAAAAGTAACGGGCGACAATCTAAAGGAGAAATAAAAGAGAACATCACTCGAAAGCGAGTCTATAAAAGTGGGTTTTAAGAAGTGATTTAAAAGAAGATACTGAATCTCCAAGCTTTATTTCCTCAGGTAGGTCATTCCAAAGAGGAGGGGCCCTCACAGAAAAGGCCCAGTCGCCTTTGGATTTGAGCCTCGACTTTGGAACGATGAGGAGGGACCCACCTGAGGATCTGAGTGGGGGGATATACGGGGTTAATATATCTAAAATATAGCCAGGGGCAATGTAACTAACAATAATAATCATTTATTGGCTTTCAAGAGGTGTCACTACTTATTTATTCAGTTATTTACTGTGTAACTGATTGTTGTACTCTATAGTTATCTACTGTATTTCTGTCGTGTTGCCACTACAATATTAAATACAACTTGACCGTATCTGAAATTCCCAATAAATTGCACCATTATCTTCTTTTAAAGTATATTAAAACTACTGTGAATTGCAGAAGCATAACATACAGTCATTCTCAAATGTATTCATCCCCTTCCATTAAAGAAAAGGCAAAATTCACAATAGTCACTCAAATAATTAGAAACTGAAAAAAGTAATAATAAATAAAAATGCGCTAAATTAGAATTTAGTGAAATAAGACATTGCTTTTGAATTGTGGTTGAAAAGAATAACTTAAAAAAACAAACAAACTGTCCCGGACAAATTAGAGCACTTTGCTGATAAGCAGTGGGCCAAAATAAATGTCAACAGGTGCAGAAGTCTGACTGAGAGTTACAGAAAACACTTGATTGCAGTGATTGGCTCAAAGGGTTGTTTAACAAAAAATTAGTTTCCAGGTCCCATCATGTTTGTTTGCTTGTTTGTTTGTTTGTTTTGTTTTTTTTAAAATATTTCTGTTGAACCACAATTGAAAAGCAATGTCATGATTTTCATTCATTTTTATTTATCATTACTTTTGTCAATTTCAGCTTATTTCAGTGACAGATGTTTTTTTTCCTTCTTTATGGGAGGGTATGAATACATTTGAGGACAACTGTAAGTGTCCTTCATCTTTATGAACCAGAATGGATTTTTAGGTGAACAATTGAGATCTAAAAACTGTGTTTAAATTTTAAAAATGCATAAAGCACTAAAACACCTAAAACAACAGGATAAGAGATAAAGCCACTGGCATCCTGATGGATTAGTAGCATTTAAAGGCAGCAATGTATGACAAATGATAATCTATTCAGGTTCGTTGAAAGGACTCGATGTTACAATCCCTAGTGTTTGCACCACTTTTGATTTGGGAGTTCTTGACGGATGGCTGCTATAAGGCTTTACCAGCAGGACTTATTGTCAAAAATATATTATAAACCAATTGGGGAGAAAAAAATCAGCATGATTTAAAAAGAAAATGTTAAACTGACTAATCTTGGGGCATCGTTGTAAAATTAGCAATAATATTCCTAGCTGCCTAAATCAAGCTGCTTGTCGAAAAAAAATGGAGCTGTTGTGTAAAAAACTTATTGTTCAGTGGAAAAAAAATAACAATGAAACCGGAAACGCAAAGTTAAACAGAATGAGGAACATCTTGGCTTGCACTGCCTTTAAATGACATCACTTTGTGGGTGTCATATGGGTTTTTACATTGAGGTGAAGAGTGAGGAGCAGAGAGAGAAAATGAGAAATGAAACAACAGAAGTGTTTATATCATGAAAGGAGACCAAACTAACCTTTATGAAGTGCATCTGAAAACCCTGCAGCAGGAGCATGTGGATTTACTGTCTGCATCTTCCCTTGGATCAACTTTTCTGTCCTTTAAGACGTCATGTCTGCACAGTTGGCCTTCTCACGGTTAAGCTCAATGAAGCACCTACAACAAAGCAGCCAAGATCAGAGAATGTAAGAACTCACATAAAGGAACATGAAATTGAATTTGTATTGTAAAAAAAAACCCCCAAAAAACCAAAACACACATTTAAATAGGAATTTAAAGAATAAGAATAAATGACACTGCATTGTCCGTTCTGATATCTACCTTTGTTTGCTTTGTTTATTTCATTTGTTTATTTCTTCTGACGTGTGTGTAGTTTGCTTTTGTTTTTTTTTTCTTTTGTGTTTCTTTGCCTACTCTCATCAATGTGTGCATATATAGATCTTACTGCTCTGGCAATCGCTGAGATTCAGGTTTTCTCAGCTTCCACATCTCTTGCAGGTACTCTTGATGATTGTCAGCCCTGTTTTCCCGCAAAAGTCATCAGATCGTCTCTGCTGTGTGTTAGTGCAGGTGTAGATAGATTGCGGTGTATTTGTTTTCTTCTACTTTCGTTTCACTCTTTCTCGCACTTCTTGGGACTGTACACTTCCCTTTTTCCTCTTTCAGGTCCAGCAATATGACATGTAATTCAGTAAGAAACCAGCATCCAAAATAAATGAACGAAATAAAATAGAATGAATACAAATAAACAGAAATCAGACTATCAAGAGGGGCCTTATATTTGTAAAGCTCCCCTTGGCAAAGTAAATCTGTTCAGCACAACACAGCATTCAGGTCATCATTCTGCTTGCTATGATGCTGGACCAGACACGTTAAAAAAAAAAAAAAAACCTGTCACAGCATGAATGGCTGACTGTAGGGTCCAGCAACAAAGCTGCCTCTTCCCTCTTAACATTTAAACTGATCTATTGTCCCATCAGTCTACAGTTTTTTTTATTTTTATTTTTGTGCTGTTATGTCAGCAGCCATGACAGTTAATACATTTACAAGATTTCATCCTTTTGGGCATCAAACATAGAAAATGACTTTGGGTTGAAATTAATACTTTGGTAAACAAGAAAAATAAAATCTTGTCTCTGTTTTGAATATCTGCATTTCTCAACTCCATCCATATTTTAATATATCATGAACCCTATAAAGTATATCTCAGCATTCAGTTAAAAAGTAATAAACCCTAAACTTAGAATAACAGAAAAACTGAAATAAATAAATAAATAAATAAATAAAATTGTTAATTTCTGCTGATTTTCTTGATTATTACAGTCTACCTCAGGGGTTCCCAAACTTTTCAGCCCGCAACCCCCAAAATCACAATTCCTGAGACTGGCGACCCCGACTATCCCCGGAGGTGACTGAAACATAAAACATGCACACGGCTACACGCACTAATAGGTGTATCTAAACACGGGCAAAACGACAACAAAAAGGAACAGAACAGCCTGACAACCATGATATGATTTTCCATATAACTACTTACTACAGGATGAAAGCAGAACACATCAGTCAAAATCTCCATGTAACCGATGAGTGAACATTGTTGCTGTCATGTGCAAAGTACTGACTTATACACTTTAATCTCCATATAAGCAGAAGAATAAATCTGTCAAAGTAACGGCCACAACACGCGGCACTGAGTGAACATCGTTGCTGTGCAAATTTACATTTTGGGAATAACTATGTTTCACTGTTGATCTTAACTAATGAGATGGGTGGGCACTATGCATGGAGCACAAGTCCATTCTGCGACCCCCACTTTGGAAGCCCCTGGTCTACCTATTGTTGCAGAAAAGCAAAGTCAGTCTGGTGTGCATTAAAAAAAACATTGTGTTAATTAAATACTGGAATGAATGAATGAATGAATGAATAACAAATTACTATTGATCTCCTAAGTGGTTTACAGTTGAATCTGAAATACCATCAGAGGCAATACAGTATATAAAGAGTCTACTGTCTGAGCCTCCTTGTGTGTTCTATTCCTTATTCCTATTTATCTTTATTTATCTTATCATTGTTTCGCTGTGGAACAGATACACAACGCATTTCACTGTGCGTTATACCATGTATAATTGTGTTTGATTTGAGGTTAACTGCTGATTCTACATTGTCTGTAGGTGTGAATGTGAGTGTGCTTGGTTGTCTGTCTCAAAGTGTCGCCCTGTGATAGACTGGTGACCTGTCCAGGGTGAACCCCGCCTTTGCCCTGAATAGGCTCCCCATGACCCTCCAGAGGATCAAGCGGTGTATAGATAATAGATGGATGCATTGTTGTGAAGGGGGAGGTGTCTTACCCACTTTAGCATCTCACATTTCCCTTCCATTCTTATGCAGTGGCTTAAAAGTGTGCTGCTGGGTTGGGCTGAGCCTCCAGTGCGTCCAGACCCTAGATCCGCCTGTGGCTGTGACAGAAGCAAGCAGCAGCAGCAGCAGCAGTGTGAGTTAGTGATCACAGGAAAGTTGGGCTGCAGCTTCAGTCTTCCTGCTGCAGTGAGAGACGCGGCGTGACGTCAGCGAGTGGTGCAGGAAGATGGGAGACGACAGACATGAGGGAGACATCCGAGAGAGAACACAAACACAATGACAAGGTAAACCCACCGCGGCTGGCCTCGCACTCTCACCCGTCGGCTTAGATAATCTCTTTATCACACCAGCGCGATGTCATTTCGGAGGAATTCCCGGTCCGGAAAGGTACGTTTACGCAACGGACGGTGGGCGGCTGCGCAAAATGGTGTTTTCGTGCCATAATATTTACATTTTACTGCCTCACGACTTCAGGTAAATGTTGGATTAAATACATTCGGCGACTGGGTAAGAGTGTAGGAATTCCCAATCTCTTGTCTGTACACATTATTGCACCTGAAATGATGCGCTGTGAAATGAGGCGAGCTGGATTTTTAAAGCACGACTGTGTCTCTCCTGTCAGGTATGATGACAGACTGCCGCAGCTCGTGGGTTGGCACTGATCAGAAAGCATGGGGCTCCGGCTCAGTGGCAAGGTAAGACAGGCCGAGGTGTGGCGCTTAGCCCTTTATGCCCTTCATCATCATAATCATGATCATCATCATTAGTGCAGCCATGCATGAAGGCAGCACAAGTCTTGATTTAACATCTGTGAGCATTATATGCAAACTTTAGCACCCACAAGTGGAGGCTGGTGTATTAAACAGATTTAGTAAAACTGTAGTAAAACATTAAATGCCTATCTTTAAGTTAAAATCTGACCTGTACTGGAATTTTTTTGTGCCAATGCTTATTTTAGGGAGTTCATGTAACTATAACTCAGCTGCTGTTGTAGTCGTTTAGAGTTGTGCTGAAAAGGGGAAATGATAGGGCCATTGTTTATTACCTTTTACAACAATCCGTAAAAGTGTGAAGACACCCCGTGACTTCGCACCACCATCTGCTCAGCTGTGATGTGTGCTGTCCTACATGTGCTGCAGACAGTGCTGAGTAGAGCAAACAATGAATTCCAACACAGACGTTGCTTCGATGTTGAGTAAAAAAACAACGGCATCACCATGTATTACCTTTGCAGCAATCCAATTCACAGCCTCGTTGGCAGCTTACTATGAAAACATCCCTTGACTTCGCACCACCATCTGCTCAGCTGTGATGTGTGCTCTGCTACATGTGCTGCATACAGTGCTTACTGTTTTTATGTAGTAAGTCATCTTGTACACAAATTAGTTAGCAACTTACCATGAGGCATGAGGACAAAACTGGATTCTGAAGCCTCTTCGACTCAGATGTAATGTGTACTCTGCTACATGTGCTGCTGAAAGTGCTAAGAGTGTTGTAGACAGTGGAGTCTGAAGTAGTTACTGTTTTTATATAGTACGTTATATTGAAAAAGGAAAATGACGAGGTCATAGTTTATACCTAGTTAGTAGACACCCCTTGACTCCGCACCACCATTTGCCCAGCTGTGGTGTTTGCGCTGCTACATGTGCTGCAGACAGTGCTAACAGTACTGTATAAAATGGAGTCAGCGTGCGCTCTGTTGGACAGACTGTAACGACACCATTTCTATATGACCTCAAGCATGTTGTCCTGTATTATGTTCGGTAAAGGAAAGTTTTTGCGTATGTTGTCCAATATATGCTGATATCGATAAATCTGTGACAGTAATATTTGCCAAACGATATATCAGTCAGGTCTGGTTAAAAATGTAGATTTTTGGTTAAGGTTAAAAAGCAAAGGTGGATCAAGCTTTTCATAGTTAAAATGCTGAAACAATGTGATTGAATTATTGTGTTAAGGTTTCATCGACAAGTGAAATATCATAATTTCATCAATGTTGTGTAAAATCATGCATTTTTTTAAGGTAGAGAACTGTGTGAGATACTGTCTTTGAAGTGTAGATGGGTCTCATAAATTTTAAATTCAGCACCATATGCTTGACTATGTTACTATTTAAGTTTTTTAATCAACTAAAGTTTAGATATAGACTGCCTTGTGATGATGATGGTTGAATAAGTGTTGCATTACAATAGAGTTTCAATATTTAGTCTGATAAAATGTAGTTAGACTGACTTTGTAGATGATGGTTGAAGCATATTGATTTAGTGTCAGCTATGGCTGAAAATCCAACATTTATTCAATATCTGTCATAATGAGTGCTTTCAGTTTGGTTTAAATGTCAAGCATCAACAGAGATTCAACAGCCTTTCATCCTAAATCGAGCTTCATTAGACACTGATCAACCAATCTGAGAGACGTTAGGTTAGTATTCAGGGCCGTCACTATACAGAGCCTGATAAATAAAGCTTTATTTTTCTATTTAAATTCTAGCAGAACCCCTAATACGGGGCACTGAAAATGTTGCTTAAAAGTATGTATTGCCAGGTAAATGTAGTTAAAGAATCGAAAGTAAAACTAGTCAGTGCAGAAAATGGACCCTGTGACTGTTATAAATCGTTTAATTAATTATGCATTAAAGTGTAAGTAACATTTTGAGATTGGGTGAGACTTGAATGAATGAATCGATTGCATTTATGGTTCAGTAAAACATCAGACAGTTTATATACAGAGCCTCACATGATATCTTCATATTGCTTGTTTGTCCCACCCATTATCCAAATCACTAAATTATTCATCTATCCATCCACTATCTACACACCGCTTAATCCTCACTAGGGTCGTAGGGGGGCTGGAGTCTATCCCACCTGACTCAGGGTGAAGGCAGAGGACACCCTGGACAGGTCACCAGTCTATCACAGGGCTACACTTACAGACAGACAACCAAGCACACTCACATTCACACCTACGGACAATTTAGAATCACCAATTAACCTCAACATGTTTCTGGACTGTGTGGGAGGAAGCTGGAGAACCCGGAGAGAACCCACGCTGCACGGGGAGAACATGCAAAGTCCACACAGAAAGATCCTGGTGTCCCCACTGGGACACAAACCGGCGACCTTCTTGCTGCGAGGCAACAGCTCGCTAAATATTCAATTTATATTAATTTAAGAAAAGGAAAAACCAAGAACCAAGAAATGTTCACAATGAAATGAGCAGTTGTGGCTGTTAAATAAATGCAGGTGTAAAAAAAAAAAAAAAAGATTAATTCCCTGAGTAAAGTGGAGAAAGTGTAAAGTGATTTAAAGTAATTGTACTACGTCACATTTCACCTCTCTTGTGCACGCTGCAGGGACAGCAGAGCCACAGGATGGTGATCTTCGCCGCCATCTTCATCCTGATGACACTCCTCATCCTGTACGGCTCCAACAACGCCAACGAGGCCGTCTACACTCCCTTCCACGTGGCTACAAATCACGCCATCAAGACTACAGACCTGAAGAAATGGTCCGGGAGAGACGGTTATGTACCATTTTATGGGAACAAGGTGGGCTGCACGCAAACACACAGGTGTTACAACTCTATGCTTACGTTCAAATTACTGCATGTCAACGTGGGAGAGACGAGGTTTCATACAATGACTGAGTTGGCATACAGAATGATTTGTTGGTATAAACACTCGAGAAGGAGTGGAGCACAAGTGTTCATCTGTTGCTGCTGCAGCGGGCAGATATCCATGTTGGTAGGAAGTTAACTTTAGGAGTATATTTAATGTAAGGGGTGCTGCTCATGCTGGCTGACCAGACAGTTCTTCCTCTTGCCTCGCCCTGTTATTGGTCATTGACTTTTTATGTTTGCTGACGGGATGGAAATGCAGAAGTAATTTTCTTGAAAAGGGATCAATAAAGTACTATCATATCTTATTTTATAGCAGGATGGCAATAAACTGCACACAGTTCAGTCGTGTTTCTCAGCCTGTGCTGTGAACTTTGTGTAGCAAAACATCCCACGCAGTATGAATAAAAAGGCAATAACCTTTTGCATCACATCAGCAAGCAACCGAAGCTTCTCCAAGACTACCAGGCGACAATTTAAAATACATTCTATACTCAGAGATTAGTCATTCCAAACCAGACAGCGTGAACGCATAGGTGAGCTGTTAGATGAGTGTGGTTTCCATCCATATTAATCACATAACTCCCTCTTCTTCTGTTTCTGTCTGTAGTGTCTTTATCATGTCCATCATTATAGCTTAAGCTTAAGATAAATAACGACACTTTGTCATGAGTCCAAGTGTAGCATCACATATATACAACTCTGTGATAAAGGTTAAACGTGTCCCACAGTGCTATTATTATATTGTTAAAGAAGCATTGTGGTGCCACAGAGATATCACAATTTTATGGTCAGACTTTGGTCATTTTCCATGATGGAACGGCACATTGCACGTGATCAGTTCAAGGACGATCGGAAAGTTGAATATCTAAGGGTTTTTGTTTTCACTGGTTCCCACTTTAATAAATGGGGTAAATTTGGGCGTTTCTTTACAAAGATGACATGTCTTTCAAACCTGCTGGAGGGTTTTGGGATTCATAGAGTTAAAAGCCCCCTATTAATACACTATTCCCAGTAGTGTTTACTGGTTTTATCTCTGATTTGGTAGTTTCTTGCAAGTACTGTTAACTCATTTAATGTAAACATTAAATCAAAGTATATATCTCAGAAAATGAATACACACTATGGGTGTGTGGACAATTTGTCACTGCAACTGTCTATACACTTTCTACAACACTATTACTGACAGCAAACGGTTGTTTTAATACATAAAAGCTTGTCGTCTCTCCTTCTCAGACTTTGAACCTGCACTGTCACAACTGTGCTCTGGTGACGAGCTCCAGCCACGTCCTGGGTACTCGAGCGGGAGATGAGATCGACCGTACCGAGTGTGTTATTCGCATGAATGACGCCCCCACGTTGGGATACGAGTCGGATGTTGGGAACCGGACGACTCTGAGGGTCGTAGCCCACTCCAGTGTGTTCAGGGTGGTCCGAAGGCCCAACGAGTTCCTACACCGCACAGACAGCAACCCTGTGATCATCTTCTGGGGACCCCCGAACAAGATTGGGAAGGAGGCCAAAGGAACCTTATACAGGTTGATCCAGAGAGTCAGCATGACATACAGCAACGTGTCTTGTTTCAGTGTCACGCCGAGCAAGATGCGCAGATTTGACAGTCTGTTTCACAGAGAAACAGGACGAGACAGGTGAGTATTCAGTGAGCTGGTATACGAGGTACCTTAATATGTATCACCTCCATATCGATTCTCTCATTTGTTATTTTTTGTTTTTTTTATCCACTCAGGCAAAAATCTCACTCGTGGTTGAGCACAGGCTGGTTTACGATGGTCATAGCCATCGAGATATGTGACAACATCAAAGTATATGGGATGGTTCAACCCAATCACTGCGGGTGAGTATGAATCTGGAACTGCTCAACCATCCATTACTACAAATTAGAGAGAAAACCAGTCATCTTACACAAAAATGAACCTTTTTGCCAACAGAAAACCTGGATCCAAGAAGATGCCGTACCACTACTACAAACCCAGGGGATCTGATGAATGTGTGACATACATACAGAACGAGAGCGGCCGGAGAGGAAACCACCATCGCTTTATCACAGAGAAACAGGTGTTTGCACGCTGGGCAAAGCAGTACAACATCACCTTCACTCATCCAAAGTGGTGAAAAGACGGATCTCTGCACTCACAGGAGCCTGCGTGAGCACGATGAGCTGGATTTCACTGCAACTTCCCCAAATGTGAAGCCTCGCGATGAATGGCGGCTATTTTCAGGAATTGCCACGGGGGCAACAGAAGCATTTGGAAAAACCTAAAATTGGACCTAATCGCTATGGAATCATATACGAATGTTTTCTGTTGCAGAAACTCACTTTCGTAAGGTTTCTGAAGCACTGCGTCTACTCCACATTGAGTTGTGGGAGTAATCTGACAAGTGATTTTTGTAAATAGAAAATGAATTTAAAAATGATTTTTTTACATGTTTATAATATTTTTGTTATGTGCTGAAAATATAGTTCTGTTTCCCATGTTGAGGAGGGGTTACATCAGCAAGCACCTCTAAATAAGTGGCCTACAAAACAGACTCGAAATAGCTCTTATCTGTCCATTACACAAGAGATCATGTTCTGCAGACAGAGCAGCCAGAGCCAGCAACCCACTAATTCAATCTATAAACAATCTACTGTATGTTGGGGCCTTATGATACAGTAACATGAGCAGTTCCTGAACCAGTACCAAAACAATATTTTTTCAATAACATAACTCGAAGACTATATATATATAAAACTCTATTATAATTCTGCATATATTTTCATTTAATGTTTAAGCTGCATGTTTTATGTCTTAGCACAAATCAGCCAGACAGTAACTAAACATAAGTCTGAACTGTGATTTAAATCAGGAAACAGTGGATTCAGTGCCAGCTTTTAGTCTCATACATTTTTTTTTTTTTAACTTGGTGCTGCATACATATTCAGAATAGTACTTAAATGTTTTGGCAAAGTCAAGCTCTGGTTAAAAGATGTCAGATGAACTGTTTAAGCGATCTGTGTTACTCAACAGTAACAAAACAGAACATCATTATTGGACATGTTGAGTTTGCATAAATTATACAGCACCAAATTAATGGCAGAAACACTGTCACATTATGCAGAGTTCTTTGATTATTTTAAGTCTGTTCGTCTCAAACATAGAGATATAATTAAGATACTACTACAGCATTGTAAGAAGAACATTTTACCTTCACTCCTTTTACCTCAGTGGCACTGCAGTGCATGCAGCCTAATTTCAAATCGCCCCCAGAATGCTTCCTGGTCGGGCTGTGCATCAGTATGGAATTGCACGAATTCAGAGTAAGAAGCAAAGAAGGGTGCAATAACTTCAAACTGTGTTGCCTTTTGCTAGTAGATAGTCTGCAAACATACTTTTTTGGCAACATTCGTGCTCAGGAAAGGCTCTCATCACTGTGCACGAAATGTGCTTCAGTCTAGTTATGATCGGAAGCCTGCGCTGTTTGGTTATTGAAAATAATTGGTCAATAACAAAAAGAAAGAAAATACAATTACTATATGAAGCTTAAATTGCCTGCTATTGTGGTAACAGCCTGAAACACAGATTTTTATATGAAGCAAACTTAGGAACACATTCAGCATCTGCAACACAGAAGGAGGTGTATTAAACTACAATCTTATGGATATACAGTAGGCTCAAAACAAAAACTAACTGAATATAACTTTCATGAAGGTAGGATTTCCTGCAGGAGATTGTTCTATTAGACTGCATTAGTTATCACCTGCTACACCTCACGTTAAGCCCACAGATAACCCAAAAGTTACCACCATAGGCTCCTTTAAACCTTCTGAACCACAAGCGGTGTCTGGTAGTTTTTTGATTCCTTCACATTTGTCCTCACTGTGGGCTCATTTTTCACTGCAGTGTTACATCCTGCACTTCTATGAAAACAAGGTTAGACTCAAAAAAGAAAACACAAAAATGAACATGTACAACGTTTATACAGATCAGCCCAGGTGTTACCAATAGCGGAACAACATTGGTGTTGTGCATGTGATGGATATTTTGCTTTTTAGATGTTTTATTTGTTAGCATACTTGCACTTCAGCCAAAAAGTCCCTGAATTCTGTCACATGACTGTTGGTCACAGCTGAGTCGGTACTGGTTTAATGCTGTGCTGAGAAGCTCAGAATTTTTTTTTTTTTTTACAGAATCCAGTTTGAGCAAAATGTCATATCTGTCAAACCTGGCTGAGCTTTGAGGTTCAGAGGGTTAACGTCAGAAACTGAAATGTTAATATAAAGGGTAGATATGTGCAGCATGCATGGGAATTGGAATGTGATTGCACCCAAACGACAGTCTGAGAGCTGTAAAGTACTTTAGTCTCCCACTAAAAAAATCTTTTTTAGGACAGCAGTTGGACAACTTCCTCCTATGTGTTTGACCTACTTCTCCAGAAACCGGGAACTTCAACGCAGAAACTCAATACCATTTCTTTGTCCATGTTGTGCTGCTCTCAACACCATTTTTCATGAAAAGTTCTGTACCAGTTTTCAAAAAAAACAAATCAAGTCAGTTCAAGCATGTGGGTAGAATTTGTATTAAAATATGTACAATTTGTTGAGTCATTTAGAAACAAAGAAATAAGATTAGCTAACATCAATGCACTAATGTGTTACTGCTGTGTTTACTAGAGGCAATGCCAAAAAATCCAGGTATGGACAACCTCAAGGTAAATACCAGTTAGATGATTCATCTGCCAGCATGTCTTTGTTTACTTTGCTCCGCCACTAGTTCTTTAACGAACCACTGGAAACACCTGAAAAGGCGGCTGACATCTTCTGTCTCAGCCCTGACATGGAAATTAAGATGGCCTCCTGTTAACAACAACAAAAAAAAGCAAACAGTTTAATGAACACACTGGTGAGAACAAGCAATATGCAGAGCATTTTACTGTACAAATAATATCAATTTATCTTGTCACACAATGCTTTAAAAAAAACAGACAGTGTATCTCTGTCCTCACCTCTGTACGAATGGTCCTGCTGCCCTGATCGGGGCATGTGTTGAGGTAAAGGTCAAATAAAACACTGGGGTCAGAGACATCCAGGTTTTGGTCAGTGTCTACACTGGCTTCTAATCCCTGAAGACCTCCAAAAACGACCAAAAGATGCCTAAAAAGGGAATAATTCACCTTAGTTCTGTGTCATTTAAGCAAAATGGTGCTTTGAGCTAAATGCTAATGCCAGCATGCTTACATACACACAATAAAATGACAACATGCCAATGTTTTTAAGAATATGTTAACTATGTTTAGCATCTTAATTTAGCATGTAAGGATGCAAACAATTAAAGGATATTTCAAACACTGGAAGTATACTGGACCTAATGATCTCACTGGTTCTGAACCTACTTGAATGGCGACAGTGTTGCTTGGTCCATGTTGCTGCCTCTCTCTGATGTGCCAATAGTCAGATCGTATCCTTCTTTATACGGACTTTCTGTGAAAACTGAACCTGCATCAACGAAAAACAACAGCAGCAAAAGGCATTAACTGGAGAGATAATCGCAAACTGTGTTCTTACAAAACAACTTAGTCAGGTGTGTGAAGAAGATGTAGTTATGCTGAAAAATGTTAATACTGAGTGTATTAGGAGAAAGGGAAACCTACTGAGACAAGATGCCAGGCGGACAGTGTATCCCCAGTAAAGACCTCCTTCAGTCCTGGGCACGTGAGGAGCCACAACAATACCTTTACATAGTTTGCTTTCTGCAGATGTTTGGGCAGACAAATGGACACAAACACACGCTGATCTGATGTGCTGTACGATGTGATATAAATCATTGAAAACAATAAAAAGAAAAAATGCTGGAAAGTGATTGAGAAATTCACCTTGACTCTGTGTCTTACTGAGCTGCACCGTGACTCGGAGTCCAGACTGCAGCTGTTTATCAATCCGAACCTCCTGGTGGAGCAGAGCAACACAGTTAAATCTATATTATACATCCTAAATACACACTGAGGTGTAGTGCCCACATTGGAGCCATGCTCACCTTTCTCATTCCACAGTTGACTAATGAACCTTTTCCTTGTTTGGGCGGCCTGTCGAGGACGACTCCTTCCCGGTATTCAGATTCCTCATCCATCCTCATGTGGTGAGGACTGTCTAAAGGGTTAAGCAAGCCTAGCAGAAAGAAAATGTGTCCTGTTACCACCTGACGTTTACAAAGTATTATAAGTCAGTCATATCTGAACATGCACAATAATAGTTTTCATTTTATTTTTATTTTCTACTGATTCTCAGACTTGCGATATGTAACACTTCTTCGAAGTCGGCTTCGTCAGTCTGCTTAAGCGACAACGTTCTGACATCGAGGCAGGTCACTTTTACATTAATGGTTCCCATGTCACTCATACAAACATACAGTCGTCCTCAAATGTATTCATACCCTCCCATTAAAGAAGGAGCTGTCACTGAAATAAGTTGAAATTGATGAAAGCAATAATAAATAAAAATTTAATGAAAATCATGACATCTCTTCTGAATTGTGGTACCACAGAAAAAAAAGACAAGCAAACAAGCATGATGGGACTCGTAAACTAATATTTTGTTGAACAATCCTTTGAGCCAATCACTGCAATCAAGTGTTTTCTGTAACTCTCAGTCAGACTTCTGCACCTGTTGACAGGTATTTGGATTTTAGCCCACTGCTCATCAGCAAAGTGCTCTAATTTGTCCAGGATAGCTTTTTTTTTTTTTTTTTTTAAACTATTCCTTTCAACCACAATTCAAAAGCAATGTCTTCTATCACTAAATTATAATTTAGCAAATTTTTATTTATTACTACCTTTTTCAGTTTCTAGTTATTTGAGTGACTATTGTGAATTTTGCCTTTTCCTTAATGGAAGGCTATGAATACACTTGAGGGCAACTGTACCACATTGACACAGAGTGACGATACAGATTTGTCACACACACAAGATTGGACAGTACATTATACACAGTACACATGTTAATACTCTAATAAAGAAAAGACTAAACTAACAGGAAAAAGTCATAGCCATTGTTTATGAATGATAAGATTGTCTAAACACTGAAAACCCTCTCTGTGCTTGATGATATCACAGCTATGGCCGCTATCTAACAAACAACTTAACTGCAGCTTACAAATTGTGACAGCTCATCTGTATGAGGTGAAGGAAAATACCCAGCGTGACTTGCTGTTAGTTTCTGTCTCCATGTCAGATGATATAAGTAACTAATGAAGCTATAGTTGCTGTTCTATAAGCTGTTTTGGAGACGCTCATATTGATTCTGCTGCCGTTTGATGCTGCAGGTTTACTAAACTCAGAGCAAAGACTCCTACAAACAGCTGGAAGCAACAACCAATATGAAAAAGTTACTAGATTCTACCTGGTAAAGTTGCTGTCACATCCTTTTACAGAAAAATGACCAGGACATCAATTCAGACATGAAGCCAGACGTCATCAGATTAAGACGAAATGAGTGCATGTGTCAAAGGCGCTAAAGAGGTTTCTGATGACTCATTAACTTGTCATAGAAGAGAAAGCTTTCTTCAGTATCAAAGTTAGAACGTAAACAGAATTTGCTAACTTGTAATATTCAGCATACTTTTATCAGTGCAAAGGTTCCACACCTGGTTGGATCAGCAGCTGCTCAATTTTTTTTCTGAGCGGGAACCCTAAGTGTCCAAACTCAAAACCCTCTATTGTAAATGGTATACAGCGCTTTTATCCAAAGCACTTTACAACGTGTTTCTCATTCACCCATTCACACACCAATGGTGACAGAGCTGCCATGCAAGGTGCTGCCTGCCATTGGGAGCAACTTCGGGTTCAGTGTCTTGCCCAAGGACACTTCGACTGTGGAGGGGCAGGGGATCGACCTGCTCTACCACCTGAGCCACAGCCGCCCAAAATGAATGTACAACACTGAAAAATTACCTGCATATTGTAAATCTGGATGCTTTGGGAAAAACCACTTGCGCAGATACCTGTTGGAGAACAAAATCTGTAATCTGAGTCTGATAAAATGGACGGATAATAGTGATCTGATTATCTCCATACTCACTGTGGACATTCAAGGTACTGAAGTATTCTGGCGAGCTGAATACAAGCCTGTCCCTTCTTCCCAACGCCTTTAAAGTCTCCTTCAACACTTCTGTGGAACAAAGCCAAAGAGCAACGTTTTTTCCTCTTAGCTTTCTTATGGTTTCTGAGTGTTCACAAAGAAGCTGTACCTCAAAGATAGCTTACTTGACATCTTCCCCTTGTTCATCAAACACAACGATCTCATCAATGCTGAACACGACGCAGGCTCGAGCGATCTGTCCGGCCAGGTATGTACGAAGTTCAGGTGACTGGGCGTTGTCCAGGACAGAACCTGGCAGAGCAACACTGACGGTGTAAGCCGGACCTAAAGAACACACATCACTCATTTAAACACTGAATTTACAATCATATTATTTAAAAACAATCCACTGAATGATGAAAAGCTTACCTTTCTTGTTCTGGCTTTGTTCAAGCTTTGCTTTCTCTGCAGCCTCTTGCTGTTTCTGCTTTTCCAACTGTTTGATCAGTTTGGCCTCTTTTCTTTGCTTCTGAGCCTCTTTCTCTGTATCCAGGAGGAATCAATGGCATTGGTATGAAACTTAGCTATTTAAAAGACTGCTGGTATATATTAATAGATAGCATAAAAAATGCAACAAGTGTGGAAGTAATTATTCATGAATATCAATTTCTATTAGTGGTGCACGATATTAAATTTTCTGGCCAATATCGATAATAAGAGTTCTGATATCACTGATAACCGATATTACCGATGTCAACATTCAGTTTTTGTTCCCACTGAAAAATGAGTATAAGTAAGCACTGTGAGAACGTGAAAACTATTCAAAAGAAGCCCATACCAAACTAGACCACATAGTCTTCTTTATTATATAACAAAAGTAAAACATATTTAAACATATTTAACGTTCAAGGACCATTAAAGTAAAAACATCTCTGAAATAGCAGCAATATTAAACGTAGAGACGAATGCGCTAATGTTAGACAATCATTGGTTTTTCACATCGGCTAAATTAGTTCATTGGCTCGACACCGATATATGGGGAAAAAACACTAATATCGGCCGATACCGATGTGGTCACCGATATATCGTGCATCCCTAATTTCTATAATTGAATTTACTTATAAAAAATTAAACATTAGCTTTGCCATCCTCCCTTGTTTTTTGTTTTTTTACTCGTCACTTGCATTATACAGATCAAGCTTTTGATTATTTGATCAACAAAAAATATTGCATGTACATAGTTAGTTGTGATGTCAGGTTAAGTAACACAAATGTTCTGCTGCTCGATACAAACAAGAAAACTCACATTTCCCATTTTTCATTACTGATCTATACGAGAAGTCTGTCTGATAGAGAATAATTTACTCTCTTGATGGGTTGTTTGGATTTTTTTGAGAGGAAAATAGAAGATAAATACTAAAAAGGAAGTTTTGGTTGCAAAAAATATACACAACGTTATTTTTATGGAAATGTTTCTGCTACAGGAAAGATGATGTTGACCAAAAGCAGGTACTTTGTCAGCAGTGTCTTGCAATTGTTGCTGCTTCACAACAAAACACAAATTTATTTGACTCTTTAAGTTGGCACCACAATCTTTGTATGATCGGTGCCACCCAAAGCAAAAAACTATGCTGGATGCTTTCACCAGTGTAATGGAAGTTTTCAAATGGCTTTTATCAGCCTTTTCTTTCAATGACTTTGTATTTTCAATGCAGATGGACTTTGCTATAAAACTAACATTATTGTAATTCCTTCCAAATCAAGTCATCTGGTGAAAACTCCTGTATTTTTTTTCACATTACATTGTGTATTGCAGAAACCTTGTTGCCCAACACATGCCAAAAGTTAAAGGTCCCTTATTGTGCCCCTTTTCAGGAAATTAATGAAAGTCCCTTTCATCCCCAGAGTGTGTCTTTTTTTAAAATGTATTATTATTATCCATGAACACTGGAAAGATTGCTTATTTTACCATTACTGTATGAAACCTTTAGCTTTGTTCTACACGATTTATGTATTTATTTACTGTAGCTGTAACTGAGAACAGCTGTATTTAGAATGTGGCTGAATTAACAGTATAACAGTATATATGAGCACAAAGGGCAGGAGAGAAGAAGTTTAGGGTACACTGAAGTACTACAGGTGCCATGAAGACACAGTAACCCAGCCAGTCTTGTTTATTGGTTCCAAATGGGTCCTGAAGTTTCTACTGAATCTCTGAGCTTTACTATTCCCTCACGGCTCTGACAGGTGGGCAGAACACTACTGAAATTCATAGTAACGTGGCCCACATTAGCCTTGCACATTCGTAAACATACACACTTGTACGCATACATATTGTGTTTGTAACTCGGCTAGCTATGAACCCAGCTGGACTGCAGGCATGGAGCTGAGAGCTGTTAGCTGCTTTAGCGGTTTACTCACTCTCTGCTTTCCGTTTCTTCCAGTCCACCCGCTCCTCGGCCTGTAAACAACAACAAGCGCGTTACAGAAGGTATAGATAAAGGTGTATTGTCATTATTAATGTTCAACAATACGGCAATAGTACCTGAGAGGACACAAGTTTGGGTCTCTTCACTGCTACGCCGGCAGACATTTTTACACACACAAACACGTGAGGTTCATTTCCTTCCGGGTCGACAAGCACATTTCAAAATAAAAGTCGGAGAAAGGCGGTTATCATCATATTACCCGCCAAAATAAATTCCTCCGTAAAATTTTAATTCAGACAGTTTAAATTAAAATGTAACTGCTGTGACTTAAAATAAGCACGCACACACACTGTGGAATTATAGGATAAAAGTTCGAAAAATAAATAAACATAACATTATAAAACAAAAGTTGCCCAAAAATAAATAAAAAAAAAACAAAAAATTATCCTTTTATTTGAAAATTAAAGAAAACCTCAACCATTTATTTATTCCATTTATTTATATATTTATTGCCGAATTCATTTGCTTTTATTTTCTTTTTTATTATTTCAGAAGATGTTTCAAAAGCCATATTTTTTATTTCACTGAAACAGAATGATCTATATATCTACTTATTTATATACAGTTGAAAGTTTACATACGCTGTATGAAAAGACAAAACCTTTTTTTTTTCTCATCATCTGACATTAAATATAACCAAACTTTTTCCTGTTTTCTGTCCGTTAGGATGACCAAAATTATTTCTATTTGCTAAATGCCAGAAGAAGAGATTTTTTTTAATTACTTTCTTCAAAATCAGAAGTCTACATACACTAAGATGTCTTCTTCTGATGACTTTTTCTACAGTGTATGTAAACGTCTGGTTTCAACTGTATTTATAGGCTTTGATTAAATTGGCACATGATGTTCTTCCAGGATATAGATCTGTATATTTGAGAAGACACATGGTTTAGATATCATCAGCTCCAGAAGAGGAACATCTCTGGGTCAGATGTTCCTCAGATAGAAACCACCTTTTTCTTTTTAATGCTTTAAAGCACAGAATAGGAAACTGTTTTTGTAAATGTTCTTAGCAGCACTTTCACACACACACACACGTCCATTGACCCTGCTTGTCAATATAACAGAGGATGGCTGATTTATTAAGATGAACACTCAGTAGACGCTGCTGGAAAGCTCAAAAACGTATTTCACTCACAAGTCTACTTTCAAATGAGACACTTTATGTTTACATTGTTGAGTGTGTGGAATATAAAATGTTCGTTCTACTCCACAATATACACAGACACCCAGGAACTACAACACGCACATTCCTTTATCAGGCAGGAACCAGAAAAAAGTGTTACTGAGGCTACAGAGCACAGAGAAACTACTCAGAACAATACTAGTAAAAGCTTTATTAAACTTTTCCTCAGTCTAATTGTGGACAAATATCCCTGCAGTTGAAATGTGACATACAGTAGAGAAGCATAATTTAATTTATTAAAAACAAACAAACAAAAAAAAATCAACTATACATTTCCTTTGTAGTTATTATGAGGTTCCTCAAGGTAGATGTTGCATTTGTCAAAAACACAGAATACTGACGGATATTTTTACGGAGGAAGCAGACCAAGCCACTTTAAGAAGCTTGATCTACTACAGACGGACGGTTAATGGCTCACATAATGGGAGATTTTACTTTTGTTGACTCCACTTTCTCAAAATGTTCTCTGCTGCGTCCAGCGTGGAGTCCTCCTGTTGGACAAAAACAATGACTATGGTTAAAAAGTGCTGACAAAAAACAACAGAGTGAGACATTCATGTCAGTTAATCATCCATCCATCCATTATCTATACACCGCTTAATCCTCACTAGGGTCGCGAGGGGGCTGGAGTCTATCCCAGCTGACTTAGGGTGAAGGCAGGGGACACCCTGGACAGATCACCAGTCTATCACAGGGCTACACTTAGAGACAGACAACCAAGCACACTCACATTCACACATACAGACAATTTAGAATCAGCAATTAATTAATTAATCAACATGTTTTTGGACTTGTGGGAGCAAGCCGGAGAACCTGCAAACTCCATGCAGAAAGATCCCGGGTGTCCTCACCAGGACGCAAACCGGTGACCTTCTAGCTGCGAGGCGACGGTGCTAACCACTGATCCGCCTTACAGCCCGTGTCAGTTAAGCATGTGATGGAAATTCCTGTGAGAACGTGGGAGCAGGTAGATGAAATTGATTCGTGCCAAGAAAACTCGGCGGATCCAGGGAATGTATTATAACGTACAAGTTATAAGTGTTTACTGATTAGAAGCTTGATAGAGGACAGTCAGAGATACAAGTAAACACTATCCTTATCATCCCAGTTCTGAATTTCCTCCAGCAGGGTATGTATTAGTCCTCACAGAGCTCATCACATGCCCAATCAAGGTTATTTTTTTGACATAAGACAAAAGCCCAACAGCTCCACATAACCAAATGGTCCTGGCTAAATAAACAGGTAAAGAACAATTGTTTACTTGTACATTCCCCGTGTGCACCTTTAGAAACACTGTTCTGTCAATCAGACATGTATAAGATAACTTATGGACCCTCTGGCTCATTCCCCAGAGCAGTTGTAGTAGAAAGTCCTTCACAAATTAGGTTGAGTTTACCTTGACAAAACAGAATCTGATGTATTTGTCAAACTCCTTCCCGTGCTCTGGACTGTAGAAAGCAGAGACGGGGATTGTTGCCAAACCCTGCAGGAAAAAAAGCCAAATTAAATATGAAAAGTTAAGGAAAATTTTAAAAAGGAGGAAAAGTTGAAGACATTCCTAATGTCTTGAACTGCACTGTTTGCTCAAGTCAAATGTTCCATAAAACATTCCCTCCTTCATCCAAAACAAACTACAACAACAATCTTAAAGAAGTCTTTACCTTCTCTTTAATTAGCCATTTAACAAATCTGAAGTCGTGGGATTCATCTGTGCTGCTCTGGTCATTTAAGTCCACCTCTGTTGGAAAGAACAATTAGTTTAGTTGCACAAATCATGAATGGATGACACTGAATGCAGCGGATTGTTGGTCACTTACTGACAGAGGAGATGTCTGTAACCATGAAATAGCCTCCCTCTGGCATGATGGGCTGCAGACCCACACTCTGCAGACACGAGGCCAGCTTCTCTCTTTTGTGGTGCAGCATCGCAGGCAGCTGCTGGAAGTAGCTCTCTGGTTTCCCAAACAGTTCGTATTCCCTCTCGAATCCACGAGCTACTGCCTCCTGTTGGTGACAGGGAGGGATGGAAAGACCTGAGTAGGATCTACAAGAGTTTCAAAGGTATAAACTTGAATTGACAATTTTGGTGACAGTTTGGTAAAGCAAAACATTTCAAACACACCAATGAATACAACAATAATAAAGCATTAATTAAACACTTAAACCATGATGTTTCACGAAAATTTTACTTAGCGAGCTTAAAGAGGAAAGGAAAGGAATAATCCTGGCTGCTACAATATTAAATGCTGCGTCACTTCCATTTCTCCACAGACTAGCATGCTCTTTTGTATTGTTGGAGGCTCTGGAATTAAAACTCTCAAGTTATAAATGAAGAAATGTCTGTCTGTCTATCACCCTTTATGTGAGTAATTTAAAATAAAAGTTTCTTGACTATAACTGTAAGAACACAAAACTGATTAAAATGTCAAGAGAAGGAACCAAACGTCTTTTGGTGGGTGGAAGCGATGACAAAGTGGGAATGTTTTTTTTAAGGACTTATGCATTTACCTGAGCAGCCGTTGCGCAGTGGTAAACAGAGTTCTGATGGATGGTTTTCATGTGTTTGATTAAATTCCCAGAGCCCATGGCCCAGCCAACCTGAGAAGAAGAAGAAACACCATTAATGTCTTGGCTTTGTTTGCCTCAAGTTATAGTTTACGTCCATGTGTGTCCAGACTCTTCAATATATGCAGCAACAACTTTAAAATGTTTAAGTGCATTGAGAGAAACAAAAACATAGTCATGTCCTTGTATGTATTCACATGCTAAACCTTTAAAGCTAATTCTGATAGGAAATAAAGTTGTAGACGATGCTTCAAATATGCTGCAAAGAAGCTACTAACCCAGTAACATTGAGCCTTCACTCACACACATCTTAAAAGTGGGCATCCAATATGTGAAATATAGTCATAATCTTCCCTTCTGTATACGTGTGTGCACCAGAAACCGATTTTGAAGAAGAGTGATGATACAGAAAGCCACACCTACAAGATAACAGGACTGGTTCATTGAGTTTGTTGCACAAGAAACCCCAAAAGTCTGAACCTGTGTTTTTGAGTATTGTAGTGTAGTGTAGTATTAAGCGGAAGTGTTCAGCCATGACTGCCTTTGTGGCTCATGCTGCGTGTTCCAGCATATAGAAAACATAATATGGACATATTCGCAAGGCAAAACACTTTTTTTTTCTCCACTGGTTGGGATCTTTAAGAGAAATAATGTACAGACAACCTGAAAATATAATGCTTGATCGACACGGATGCATAAAAGTCAGGTCATGGTAACAATGTGCAGCCAAGAAGAAGACATGACAGTCTGGTGTTACCTTCCAGCCAGTAGCACTGAAAGTCTTTCCAGCGCTGCCAATAGTGACGGTTCGTTCCCACATACCAGGAAGGCTGGCTGTCAACGACACACACACATAACAAAACATACTGAGAATGCTGCTCTCTGGTTTGTGTGCGTCCTGCTGAGCTCTGGCTGTATCTCACCTATCTTTACATGCTTGGCTCCATCATAGGTGAGCCACTCGTACACTTCATCACTGATGCACAGCAGATCATGTTTGATACACAGATCAGCGATCATTTGGAGCTCCTCAGTCTTGTAAACCTGTAACAGATATAGATATTGTATGAAACAACAAAGCCCAATCAATTGGACTTTTCACACACAGGACAGCAGATTTATTGGCACCTGTTTTAAACAGATTCTGATGAATAATATGTGAGCAAAACAAAGAGCTCATTGGAAAAGTGCATCACTAGTCTTACCTTGCCCAGTGGGTTGTTGGGAGTGTTGATAACAATGGCCTTTGTGCGTGGACTGATTTTGCTGGTCAGCTCCTCAGCAGAAAGAACCCAGTCGCCACTTGACAGGACAGTGCTGCCCCCTTTCTGTCATCACCAAAAGAAAAAGAACTAAATATTTCTAGCAGTGATAAATTTAAGTCTACATATGTGACATTCTTGAAATATGTTCCAATATTTTTTAAATACATGTGAAACACTCACCGGTCTCAGCGGTACGTACACAGCCTTTCCTCCAGCCATCACCACCATCGGCTGGTAGCAGTCAAAGAACGGTTCAACAATTATGACCTGAAAGACAAATTCCATTTCTGTTAAACACACAAAACTTGCTAGATGTAATACTTTTTTTCAATTCTTACCATCTATTTCACCCTGTCAGGAGTTTAATCACACACATTGTACATCACATCCATGACTTACACAAATAGTGATTTCTCTGCTCTTATCTTTTCTTTTTTTTCCCCCTAAACACTGATTCACGGCAGAACATCTTAGCCTGACTTGACTGTTGATTTACCTCATCCCCTTCATCCACCAGAGCCTGAAATGCAGAGAAGAGAGCCTGATAAGCTCCAACTGTCACCAGGATGTCTTCAAGAGGATCGATGTCATGTCCCACAATCCTACTGAAGAATTTAGCCAGATTTTTTACAAGAGGAGGATGACCCTGAGGAAAGAAGTAACATGAAAACACAAGGTGACTCTCACTGTTTGTTCCTGTGTCCAATTGTCTTTGCAATGCCTGAATAAAATTAGTGAAAATAATCACAACATAAAAATGAGCATGCTTTTTGCTCATTCATAGAAAGATAAATGTGTGTATTTCCACTTACAAAAGCTCGAGTATACTGGTGCATCGTTGGTCCTCCACTTATGGCTTTACAGAAAGCATCCTGGATAAACTGAGGAGGGGAGAAGTCAGGAAATCCCTGTCCGAGGTTCACTGCTTTGTAGTCTGCTGCTAGCTGTGTGAATTCAACCCTGTTGGTGCGAAACAGGCCAGAAGATGCAAATATGTTACACATAAAGAACCAAAGGTCTATGACCAAAATTCATGTCTGGCGATAGTCACATTATGATACTAGTGCTCATACAACCACATTGAAAAAAATCTGCACATGTAGAGAGGCAACAACATAATCCTTTACAATACTATATGCTTCAAAATACATTTCTTAATTGTTAAAAAATATTTTTCGGAAAAGGGCTGCAAGGTGACTCGGTGGTTTGCACCATTGACTCGCAACAAGAAGGTCACAGGTTTGCATCACCGGAATCTTTCTGCGTGGACTTTGCATGTTGTCTCCGTGCAGCGTGGGTTCTCTCCAGGTTCCCCGGCTACCTCCCACAGTCCAAAAACATGTTGAGGTTAATTGGCGATTCTAAACTGTCCGTAGGTGTGAATGTGAGTGTGCTTGGTTGTCTGTCTCTAAGTGTACCCTTGCGATAGACTGGTGACCTGTCCAGGGTGTTTTTTTGCCTTCGCCCTGAGTCAGCTGGGATAAACTCCAGCCCCCCCGCGACCCTAGTGAGGATTAAGCGGTGTATAGATAATGGATGGATGGCTGCTCGGTGACTCAGTGGTTTGCACCATTGACTCGCAGCAAGAAGGTCACTGGTTTGCGTCACCAGGATCTTTCTGCGTGGAGTTTGCATGTTCTCCTCGTGCAGCATGGGTTCTCCGGTTAATTGTCTGTAGGTGTGAATGTGAGTGTGCTTGGTTGTCTGTCTCTAAGTGTACCCTTGCGATAGACTGGTGACCTGTCCAGGGTGTTTCCTGCCTTCGCCCTGAGTCAGCTGGGATAAACTCCAGCCCCCCGCGACCCTAGTGAGGATTAAGCGGTGTATAGATAATAGATGGATTTTTCGGAAAACAATCTGAGAATCCTTAAGTTTTCTTACAATTTATTTAGTAAGCTGTCCGATGGCACACAACAAATGGAAACCAATAGCAAAATCGGCATACTTCACTTTCCAAAATGTATTTAAACATAAAAAGACCTTTGTTTCTGCAAGCACAAATAAATAGAGATTTTTTAAAAAATCAATTAGGGGCTGTTTTTGATAACCTATTTTTGACTGGAGTTATGCACAAGTACTTGAAAAGCACAAAAAATAAGCAGCTATGTGTTTCCTTGTGTCATTTGATAAATCAGTAACAAAATAACAATTAGTTTTTTCACTTTCCAATTTTAGATTCTCTACTGAATATGAAAATAACTAATATTATAGGGATCTGTAGATTTCAGCTTTATTTTCCCAGGCTTTTGTTGTTTATTTCAGTTTTCTGCCATAACCCACCTGAGAAAATACTACATTTTTGATGCTTAAAAGTAGGACTCAATAAACAGGGACTTTTTAGGATGGTTCCTCCAGCCAACAGAGCAGTGACTACAGATAGAGAGCCGACTGCAGCAGAGTGAAAGCAGTGCATTTTTACACTGATTTAAAATAGGATATTTGGGAAAATGCAGAATATGTGATCCAGTAATCGGCCAGGTTGATAATCGGTGCACCCTAAGCTCAAACATGAATTCTTGTCTTGCAAACCCAAAGGAAAGTCGTGCATTTTAATTTCTTTAGGCTTAAACACTATTTTCAGTTCAGAACGTGACGCATAAAAGAATAAACTGCTTAAAGACAATGTGCCATACAGTCGTCCTCAAATTTATTCATACCCTCCTATTCCCATTAAAGAAGGAAAAAAACAGCTGTCACTGAAATAAGATGAAACTGACAAAAGCAACAACAAATAAAAATTTAATGAAAATCATGGCATTGCTTTTGAATTGTTGAACAACCCTTTGAGCCAATCACTGCAATCAGGTGTTTTCTGTAACTCATCAGCAATGTGCTCTAATTTGTCTGGGACTTTTTTTTTTTTTTTTTTTAAATTCTTTCCACCCACAGTTCAAAAGCAATATATTATTTCACTAAATTATAATTTAGCAAATTTTTATTTATTGTTACTTTTTTCAGTTTCAAGTTATCTGAGTGACTATTGTGAATTTTGTCTTTTCTTTAACGTAAGGGCATGAATACATTTGAGGACGATATAAAAACTGAATGATAAAATCTCAGACTTACTGTTTTTTCCCCTGTTGCACATTCTATAATGGCGTTAATTGCACAGTCAAGCATGCATTTTTAATTATCTGAGCTGAACAGGATTACCAGGTTTATTAAATGGACTTGGTGCTGGGCTGTGAGCCACCCCTGGGATCCACCAATCAGCTGGATGCATAGTAATCAACACAGTGTGGGTTTGTCAATCCAAAGCAAGCGCCAGTAAGTCAAGCGACATTAAATTCACTGAGAGGCTCGATTCAGGACACAAATGTCAGAACACAAGCAGCAGACATTCCTGTGGAGATGTGACAGAGAGAGCAGCTCCTAACAAGCTGTGTTTATTGATGTCAAAGTCCTCCTGTTGTCACTCACCAAACGTTTTTATCCACACCGTCTGTTCTGCGCGCATGAAGTCGCCTGGACATGATTATCTGAAATAAAAGCATTTAGTATTTTTAGTCGCTGTGTGATGGATAGTGTCTCCTCGGTTTATCACAGCTGCACTCACCGCGTGACTGTTTCTAACTGAACTCGGACGAAACACAATCAAACTAGCGGCCAGATTCCTGATTATTCCCATCAGTGGCAATCATCGCCTCGGACAGAACAATGCAGACTTGAAGCAGTCACTGAATAAAACAGAGAAGCGCTCTGTAGACGTTTCTCCTCACCTGACACTCGTGATATATTTGCCTGAAATACTACAGCTGTGAAAGACGAGCAAAGTTATCGTACCTCCCCTTCAACCTCCTTGTGTTTTTATTCTACTTCCTGTGTGGGCGGAGCGAGACGATCAGAAACAGCGACACTGACGGTTCACATCAACAAACACAGTCCCAGCCAGCTCAGGAGTCAACTACTGTATATCGGAAGATAAGGATGTTAGATTTCTAAATGTATTTAAGGTAGTTAAATATTTCTGTAAGTAAGCTTAATATATTTTATTTCCGGGACTTCCAACCATTTAGGAGCCTCCGCCGCCGGTTGCCTGGCAACCTCAAGACAGGCTTTAATCACTGCCCCAAGCAAAGAAGTAGTTCCTCACAAAACTCGAACATAAAATTAAATAATGTCGTTTTTACGTAGTTTCTGTATAGTTTAAGAAAAAAACAACACTTTTTAATTACTGAGCAAGCTTTTTATAACCTTCAGGCAAATGCAAGTAAACTTTCCATTCTTTATGCTATACTAATTTAGCTAACCAGCTGCTTTCTAGCCTCACATTTAGAGAAACCTTCATAAAAAAAAGTGTTATCAATCTTTTTATATAACTCTTGCAATGGAATCCAATGAGCTTATTTCTTAAAATGTCAAGATATTCATTCTTAAGACACCTATAGGCTAGAGTTTTGGTAAAAGAAACAAATCTGACAACAGAAGGTGCCTTTTAGGTTAATTGTAATGAAAGTTCACATTTTATTGACCATGACATACATTATAATACACCAGGACAACATGAAGGTGGACATTTGAACAAATATTTTCAAAATCAGCACACTTCCACATCACCTAAATATGGCAGTGCCATATAAAGAGACTGATTTACTTGTTAAACATGGCATAAGTTATGTTTTCTTCCTCTAAACTGCAGCTTTTTTCAAGTCCTCAGGCAGCACTCTGCCCTTCTTTCGTGCCTTGTTCTTCTTCTTCTCCGTTTTGGCTTGTTTGCGTCTCTGGAGGTTCTTCTTCCTCTTGTCCTGCCGGTGCTGCATCTTTTCTACGACGCTTTCACTCCGTTTGTCCCAGCGCTTCTTCCTCTGATCGTGCCTCTTCTCCTTCCTCTTCAGAGAGGCTCGCAGCATGTCCTCATCGTCTTTGATTTTGATGCCCTCTGCCTTATAAAGCAGGTTGGTCCACTGGATCTTCTTTTCCAGCTCGCGGGCCTTCTCCTCGTCTTTCTCCCTCAGCTGTTCCACCTTTGCTTTGCGGGCCTCCACACGGCTGAGCAGCTGCTTGTAGTTCTTCCCCGTCAGCGGCGTGACCTGGCCCTTAACGCTCTGTTTCTTGTCCTTCTTTTTCTGGATTTTGTCTACATACCTCTTTTCCACCATCTCCACCTTGTTGAAGACAATAGCCGTCTCATTTCTTTTGCTCGAGGCAGGGGCAGGCTGTTGTTCCTGTTTTATCTCTGGAACCAGCTCCTGGCCATTTTTTTCAGCCAGTTTTTTCATGAGAAATTCTTTTCTCTTCCTCTTCTTGCGCTCCCGCTCTAGCTTTCGCTTTGCTCGCTTTGCCTGGACTGCCTCTGATAATGCATCCTTTGGAGGTCCCTTAAAAAAAGAAGGATCAACGTGATTAGTTTCTAACAAACAATAAATGGTGTGGAGTATGTGGTGGCACTGCTTTCAGGAATTTCCTAAGTACAATAGAAGTCAGTCTTCCTTATGTTGAACAAAACAGCACATACTTTTTACCAACCAAATTACACTATAAAAAATTGCTGCCATCACCACACCAATCATTTAGAACGATGGAAAGGCTATTTCTTTGCTTTGTGTGTGCTGGTCACAGCTAAGACTTGATTAAACTCCATAAATACATTCTGTTATACATGAAGCGTCATTTAGGGGATCTGATGTTGCATGTGATCTTTCAGTCTGCACTTGTTTCCAGTTACCATTAGTATGAGTATAAGAACTTAGAAACAACCAATCGCTGGAAGAAGAGAACATCCGAAAGAAGCCTTTAAAGCTGGTATTGACTTGGTTTACTAATGTTTTTCAGCACTAATTTTAAATATTGCATACCTGCCCTCTGGATTCTTCAATCTTTTCATGTAGCCTCTTGCGCAGCACATCTCTTGTGGAGAAGCTGGAGTCTACATTTCCTCCTTGAAAAAAGAAAATAAAAACAAAATGAGGCCCGTGGCTGCAAAGAAAATCCTGAATTAACACGCCAACATTAGAGTGTTACAGAACTTGCATGAACCTTCTGTACCTTGAGGCTTCTGTGTCGTAGCTCCGTTTACGCCCTCAGTTTTGGGCCCCTGTGGTTTTGCTGTAGCCGGGCTTTTCTGTGCTGCTGGTGAGGGCAGATGCTTCTTTTGGGGTTTGGAAGTCTTTTCATTGGTGCCCTCGTCTTTAAAATGTTTCTTTTTACATTTTTTCTTCTTCTTTGGTGGACCAGTGTCACTTTTACCCTTGAAATGAACTAAAAACACACAAACATATGTATTAATGATCACATACATTTAACAGAATAACAATCTATTTGACAGCCCTGGCATGTAATTGTCCTTACAGTTATCAGACCAGGAACTTCAACATGTCTAGACAATAATAACTAAGTGAAGAAAAATAGGTCAGTATAGATCCTATGATTTTACTTAGGAGCTGCAACAAATATAAAATTAAATTTAAGTCAACAATAGATGCAAATGTAGTACTTTCTGGTTTCTCTCCTCCTCTGTGAAAGTACACTGAACATCGTTGGGTTGAGGACCAAACAAGACTTCTGAGGACTATGCCTTGGATTTTTGGGAACACTGATTGACATCTATCAACTAACTGATTAAATGGGAAAATACCTGACACACTGATTGATAATCACAATAATCAGTACTTGCAGTCATACTGAATTGTCATTACAGTTACCAGACTAGGAACCACATCATGGTCACGTAATGCAAAGTCGACACAAAGAAGGAAGGAAGTCAGTGCAGATCTTGTGATTTTTTTTTGGTACCACATGGCAAATCTCATGAACGTCTTGTTTCCTTATTTTGTAAAAAAGAACATCCAGTTTCAACTGACATTGTGCGTGACTTTTCTCTTCAAAGACAAGTGCAGCTGACTGTAAACCCGTTTGCTTTTAAATGTGATTGGACCACAACCACAACCTCATTTTTCAAACTAGGTGTCTGAAAAAAAAACACTTCTCTTCCCCCTTTTACTTTTCTGTTGTTTAAGTCTTTGAGGTATAAAAATTACTTTATCAATTTTCTTCGGACTAATTAAAATGAGGCAAATTGTTCTTGCAGTCTCAAATACTAGGTTACATGTGTGACTTTCTCCTCAGATATTGCTTCATTTGAATCATTTTTTATGGCTTTCAAAAGATAAATCAATACAATACAATATTGGGATCCACTTTACTTTCCATAGTTTAATCCAAAACAAAATATTTCTTTGAATTTAATTTAAAATATTATCCAAAAAAACAAAACAAAACATATTTTACAATAAGGACAGAAAACCAGAAGCACAATTAAAATGAAAATGTAAAGTGTTTGAGATTCAGACAACATAGACCCTAACAACTATTTTCTTATCACAAATTATTTATAATTTTTGACCATTATATTTAGCTTAACTTCCTGTAGATTGGCTATTCTCGCTATTTGACATGGACATATGAACACTATCCGGAAAGGCTGCTTATTAAACAGTGTAGCGCCTCCTTTGGTGAACTGTGATAGTAAAACGGAATTTTTATGGCATATATTGAGTTTTACACCTTTTTCTACAACAACGAGCACATAAATCACAAGAGTATACACCAAATATACACCAAAGCAGGAAATTACGGAAGCAAAATGGCGTTGAAAGGTGAAAATTAGCAGAAATATTAAGCTAACATTACCAAAAGGTCTGTTCTTTGGCTCCTGGTCTCGTTGAGTAAAGACTTTACTCGCAAGTTTCTGAATGTACGAGTCCTTAGAGGCGAGATCCATGTCGACAAATTGTCCGCCTTCAATTCGGCTGAAAAAGAATCAAAACGGAGAAATTCACGGATAAAAAATGTCAACACATTTCTGTACGCACGTGTGTAAAAACCTAACGGGGCGGAGCTTCACTGAACCGGAAGTAGTAACACTAAAAACGGCCCCCCTCCGAGCAGAAACATGTCAGTTATGTAGCTGTTATGTAGTCGGTTCTTTCACCCATTTGTACTCGGTTTTCATTATTGTTTTGAACCAGCATGGCTTCTCTGAAACCGCTGCTGTCCTACACGAGCAAGGTGCTTCTGACACTAAAGAAACAGGTAAGTTAATTGTATTATTTACTTCCCAAACAAAACGCTTTGTGAATGTCACCTGAGCTCAGTTTGTTTTATATCTCTGCAGACTCATGTCATTTACATCAAGAGGACGTTGGTGCTGACCAGACTCCCACTCTTCAGACGTGCTGACGGTATAAAAATTATTTTCATTAATACACTTTTATTGGCACTTCTTTAACTTCCATTATTGCAAACAAATACAGCTGATTTAAACTGTTTAAGTGGATAAATTAGTAACAGAAGATAAAATCAGTAATGACGCTTATATGCCATTTATAAAAAAAGAAGGTTTGGTACTAGAAAAGCGTTCCATCCCTTATATGATGTACGGATAATTAGGACTATTAAGACTAACTGAAAATTGTCTTTTAGTAGACGGATGTTTTGGGATGCAAGCCTTCTTATAGTGTCTAGAATGTGATTGGTTGTGGAGTTACTGTCACTCTCCATTTAAAATATCTTCTTTCTGTACCAAAGCCTGATCAAGATCTAACACCAAAATGCCTCTAATCAATGTATTTTTGCAAGTTAGACAGTGTACAGGAGTCTGTTTGACCCTTTTCAACATGCTCATCCTTCTCCTACACACTTCTCTTGTGAAAGAGTTCCTTAGACACAAATTAAGCCTGAAAATGTCATTACATTTAGGTTTAGGTAAAATTATTTGTCAGATCTAATGTTGAACACGTTTCAGATTATTGTCTTTACAACCAATTCCTGATAAATAAATATATAGTTTAAAATGCAAATTGCTCCGATGCCACCATCTATGGTCTTGAACAGCGCCCTGCCCACAGTGTTACCTATTTGTCTACACGTCAAGTAATAACCTGCTACCAACACTGGAGGAATAAATGATGAAAATTTCAATTTTAATAAAGCACATGCAAAATATATCGATAAACCATAGCATTTCCATCAAGGGTTGTGGTGGAGCTATTCTAAATCTTGACTTTATTTTTAATTCAAATGTATATTAGCTCCAAATATCACTTCTTCTCAATTACTAGTAATCAGTTCCCAGCCCTAAAAAAGCCCTGTCACTTAATCCCTACTTTGTAGTAGCACAACAACAAATTACTGACAGTCAGTACTGAATACTGTCTGTAGTAAATCTGGGAAGATCTTGCAAAAATAATTGTAATTTGGTACCATGCTTCAGAATAAACTTAGCAACATTTCAGACTGAGCATCACAAAATCAACAATTTACAATATCCGATGATACCTTTAAACTTTGTTAAACTGACATGTAATGAATAGCATCTACGATATCATATTACCATATCATTTGTGAACAAAGCTTTCTGAGCTAAGCCCAATATATTATTCCTTTACTGAGTGTTCTAAATGACTGCAGTAAGATTCCATAAAGAATCCACTTTGCTGTGTGCATTTCCAGGCAGGTTCATCAACCTCAGCCGACTGTCCAGCACCACAGCAGCAAAAGCAGACAAAGGAGAAGACTCTTTCCTCAAATGGTTCCTGCTGCTCATCCCCGCCACCACCTTTGGCCTTGGTACATGGCAGGTACAGCTAATTTCCTTCTTAGATAAAGAATCCTGATGTATCTTTGCTGTTGTTGGATGGTTTCTACTACTTCCTTTTTTCCCCCCTGTGAAGGTTAAAAGGCGCCAGTGGAAAATGGCCCTGATTGATGACCTGAGGAAACTCACCACTGCAGAGCCCATTCCTCTCCCTCTAGAGTGAGTAAATGATGGCACACCCTCTTAAAAAAATACAGTTTAGGAGCTTTTGTTAACATTGTCGCCATGGTTCTCCTCGCACTCTGTCAGAGTTATGAAAATGTACACCACCAAAAGGCTTAAAAAAGAGAGCACAGCACTTATATATGTATGAATTTATGATGGTGAAATAGGCTTGAATTTTGATAAATATCCAAAATGGTAAAAAACAAACAAAAAAAAAACAAATGTTTGTTCATATATGATAACACAAGAGAAAAAATATGAGTTAGACTTAAGTCAACAATTCATTTTCCTCTTATGCATCCTCCAAAGACTTTTATATTTATATGAAATCAAACAAGCCTTATTATTTATCTTATGTTCATGTCCCTCCAGTTTCTATGTGTACAAATGTTAGTCTCTAATGTGTACATTTGCTTGTCATTTTTCCGCCTCCTAGTCCTCTGGAACTTAACAACCTGGAGTACAGGAGGGTGAGAGTGCGCGGAACCTACGACCACTCACAGGAGCTGTACATCCTGCCCCGCTCGCCAGTCGACCCAGAGAAAGAGGCCCGAGAGGCAGGCCAGCTGTCTTCAAGCGGAGAGACCGGCGCTAATGTCGTCACTCCATTCCACTGCACCGACCTCGGGTAAGGACCCACATAAAACATCACATCGTAGCACCACCTGCACAGTGAGCTTACATTTCATTCACCACTGATCTGTGCTGTTTTGTGTCACTCCAGCATCACAATCCTGGTGAACAGAGGATACGTCCCAAGGCAGAAAATAAGACCAGAGACCAGGACCAAGGGGCAGGTTAGTATTTCAGATGAGGTGGCTGGTTTCACGAAGATATTCTGATCTGTAGTTTTTCAATTTAATGAACGATACACAGAAACAAAGACTGACTTATTTGAAGCCAAGTAGATTAGCCGCCTTCAGAGAGAAACAAGTATGGCTCATTATTTGCTAAGAACACGAGTTGCTTTCTTCTAGTCGCATGAATTTTCTTAGTAAAATGTGTTTTTTTTTTCACATTTTCTGTTGAATTGAATTGCACTGAGCTCAATGAGTTTCAGTCTTTAAAAAAAGGTCCTAATGTTCCCAGAATTTATGGCAAATTTGTCCTGCTTAATGCATTCATGATGAATTTCTTCTTTGTAAAACTAGTTCTTGGTCCCATTTAATATAACACATGATTTCTGACAACAAGCTTTTTGCAGACACATTTCATTGATCTGACTGTAAAACATTTACAGCACCCATTTGGTCACAGCTTCCAACCTCACAAAACCATTAACATCAAGTTAAACTGACTTACACCCAAAGCATGGCTCAGCTCAGGCTTATTAGTTAAACTGTGATACTGTGTTTCTGCAGGTGGAGGGGGAGGTGGAAATAGTGGGAGTCGTCAGGTTGACAGAGGTTCGTAAACCCTTTGTGCCGAACAACGACGTTGAGAGGAACCGCTGGCATTACCGTGACCTGGAGGCCATGTCCCGTGCCACTGGAGCTGTGCCCATCTTCATTGATGCTGACTTTGGTAAGAGCTCATTACCAACAGACCCCAAGATGCTCTCTGACTGGGGTCACATTAAATCTACAGCAGGCTCTGTAGTAATAGTACTACAGGTGTGCAGAATAAAGAAACATTGTCGCCACTTGGCACTATAGAAATGTAATTTGAGGTGTGTTGTTTCATGCAGGAAGCACCATTCCTGGTGGACCAGTAGGCGGACAGACCAGAGTCACACTGAGGAATGAACACATGCAGTACATAATAACATGGTAGGTGGACGCTTCCTTTGTTAAAGTCTCCTGAACATTATGTTGATCTCTTTGGCAGTTGTCAATAATTGTTCCTTTTTTCCCCTCAGGTACGGCTTGTGTGCAGCTACTTCCTACATGTGGTATGCAAAGTTCATCAAGAAGATTAAATTGTGATTTAAGGCAGTGCAATTGTTGTAACACTTGAATACTTTGAAGTGTTGCAATGCGAGCTTCATTTGAACTGTATCAGGTTCAGCCGGCTGCAGATGTTTTACTGATGTGTATGTAAATAGCCTCTCGATACATAATAAATTAATTTAGCTCTGGTCTTTGGTTTACATCGAACATTATTTATGAACTGATGGAAACTCAGTTTTCAGGAAGACAACAGTAGGCAGTGTCGCTGAGATACTATTTTATAGTTATGTAGAAAAAATTTAGATGTAATATTTAGTTAGCGAAGGTATACTTAAAAGCATTGCCAATTAGTTTATGTAATCATAGAAATAATTCATAGATTTCTCCTTAAATTAGTTCTCTCTGCAAGGAGGGACAGCATTTTCTTCCCACTGATGTTTAATCCCTTCTGAATTCCATGCGACCCACCAAAATCATCTATGCACTTATAAAGTAGTAAAATATTCTCACAACCACTTTAAGTTTTGATTTAGGCAATCCATTTACAGGTTAATATCCAAGATTACCATGTTCTGAAATGTATGTCCAGGCACTCTAAAATGGGGTCAAATTAAATATTTCACATCCAGGATGTAAAATTCTGCCTTTTAGTTCAGTCCCTCCACGCTAAGTTGCAGAACAAGTTAATTTGAATTAACAAAAACAACTGTTTCCCCTCTACAAATACTTTACTGTCTTGAATGAAGAAGTTACTGCTGCAATTTTGGTTCCAAAATATATATTTAGTTTAAGCAACAATAAAAACTGAGTCTCTCCTATTAGGACATACATTTTTTATTCCAAACAATTTAACCAAGCTTGGTTGCCAATTCCTTGGCCTTTGCCTTCTCCAGCTTAGTGATGCGGGCTGTAGATTTAGGGCCCATGATACCACCTCCCCAGTGACGACGGATCTGGAAAACAAGTTGGCAGAGATTTAAAAACAGGCATTTTGTTTTGATACAATTAAGCAATATTTAGAAAAGAGACGAAGATGAACACAGTTAACGAATATTCACCTCCTCGTATCTGTCGTTGTAGTTGGTCTTGATGGCTTCCACAAGCTTGGCAAGTGCACCTTTATCCTCACTGGAGAGAAATGAAACAAGACATTCAATATATCAACTCTTTCTGGAGATAAAACTGCCAAACACTTTAAAAAAGCTTTCATGAGAGCACCATCAGCGCTCCCGCTGGCTTCTGTTAGACAGATCAGGTAAATGTCCTGCTAGGTCTAGTGTGTAAATGAGTAGAGGACACTGACAATTAAATGGAAATCACTGCTGCAAAAACTAGACCACAAAACTGATCTTAAAAACAGGATCATGCAAGACAATTGAGGTGCGAATTAAGGTTAAAAGGTTACTACACTTCAGACTAATAGTTTCCAAATCTGTTTTAGTCAGTCATGAAGCACCAACTACGTACACATTTTTACTGGGACACAACAAATTTCATTTTATGTTCATACTTACGGGTTAATCTGTGTGAAGGCAACTGAAGTGCACGTCTTTCTGTGCACCAGTCTGCCCAGTCTAGCCTTGCCCTTGACGATGCAGTATGGGACGCCCATCTTGCGGCACAGAGCAGGCAGGAATACGACGAGCTAAAGAGGCAGCGGAGCCACAGGCAAAGGTTTAAGTATTTCAGGAACACATTTTCACCTTTAGTTCATACTAGTAAATAATGTTAAAGTTAAACAAGACCAAGAAGTGCAATGTCCACAATGAGTCATTGTCAAAACTTGTTTTTGCTTTGCGGTCTCTGCTCAGGGTTAAAAAGCTCGTATGTTTGATCCACACAGAGGATTCAGGTGAAGAAATTCAGACATCATTGCCAGTGACCACTTTCTATACTGAACTGGACCTAATATGCAGCCAAATGTACACATCTTACCTCAATGGGATCCACATCGTGGGCAATGATGACCAGCTGGGCCTTCTTGCTCTCCACCAGAGAGGTGACAGTGTTCACACCTGTATAGAAATGGAAACTTTAATTTCTGATGTGTCAGCACACTGTCCAGAAAACACAGTTTCACATTTTGGCCAATGCTCAGGGTTAAAAAGCTCAAAAAGCATCAAGGCAAGTTTCAGGTGAAGAAATTCAGGTCATCACTGCATTCAGGCCAAGTTAGATAATGCTATTCTAACAAGATCATAAAATGTTTATGTCAACATATTAATGCCAGTATAAACAGAGGATGTTCACCAGCACAAACTGACTCAACCAGCTTCATACAGGACACATGTTCCTCTTTATGCCTCACCTGCACGGAGGACAGGGGGCCTCTTGGTTGGGGTATCTCCCTTTCCAGCAGCCTTCTGCTCAGCACGAGCCAGCAGCCTCTGCTTCCTTTCCTGCTTGGTCTCTGGCCTGTACTTGTGGGCCAGCTTGAACAGTTGTGTGGCTGAAGAGGAACACAGCATATTAAAACCGTCAGCCAACAAACTGTGGCTACATGCACTGTTTATTCTAAAATAACACACATTACAAGTATTTCAAACATATGCATCAGTGATCTTGGTGGAAATGGTCAGCACAACTGATCAGATAGCAAATATTCGTTCACATCATTTGCAAATGATTATGTTGAGACTAAATCTTTCTTCTCCAGGTTGCTGTGCCACAACAAAGTCGTGCAACCTGTGCTACTGAAAGCACCTTACCGGTCTGGCGGTCCAGAGCCTGGGTGAACTGGTTGATTGCAGGGGGAACCTTCAGGCGCTTGTAGAGGATGGAGCGCTGCCTCTGCAGGCGGATGTAACGAGGCCATTTCACAAAGCGTGTCAGATCACGCTTGGGCTGAATATCCTGGCCTGTGGTAAACAACAACAACAAATGTTCAATATCTCACATCACACAGAGTGTCTTTGCTTTTCAATCTAATGTGCATCAGCGATCTTGGTGGGAAATTGTCATCAGTGGTCTTAAGATAGCAAATATTCGTTTACATCATCTGCACTGTCTCAAGCTTCCCCAAAATCCTACATGCAGCTACTCACCGATGCCAAAGTTCTTTGGCCTCTTCTCGAACAGGGGATTGACGACTTTCTTGGCCTCATGTTTCTTGGCCACGGAAGGGGCAGGTGCCACCTTCTTCCCCTTAGCCTTCTTTCCCTTAGGCTGTAAAAGAAAACAGCATTATTAAGGGATCCATAAAAGCAAACTTAAAATTAAATTAACTTTTTTCAGTTCCCAAGTAAGGCAGGTTTATTTTCAAAGTTTACTAGATGAAATTATGGGGGGTCACAATTTTGCTTACTCCAACATTTGCTAAGCGCTAAAGCAACATGTCCCACCAGTGTCCAATACTGTATAACCATTCTGTAATGTGTAATGAATGAATTCTTACAATATGTGCAGACATAATTTTCTATACAAGTGCAATGGAACTACATTTCAAAGTCTTAAGATTTTCAGTCTCCTGCAGTGTGAACTCAGTCTGTAAAAGCGCTTACAGTACAGGTACAACATTAAACCTCGTGTGTAGTGTTTAGATTTTCTAGCATGTCTGGCCTTCAGTATCCTTAGCTGTGCCCACAACCTAAACTATTTTCAATGTTGTTAAAGTTGTCTGAAGACCAGTTAGTAATGCTCAGTCCTGCAAAAGCACACACTAGGAATAAGGCTAATGCGCATCTCAGTCAAAACCCCATGCTGGCACAGTGCTGTCGGAGGAATGCCATACACTCAGAGCTCAAAACCCATGCAACGAGCTTAACTGCTACTACTTCACATGTCAACAAATGCGTTTTTACATTAAGTAAATACAATGTACAAATCAAGTACAACTTAAAGAGTTCAGCAATTGCCTTAACATGTAACGTTAGCTTGTTTAGCAGCTAAGGTAATGCTAAGGCCCATTCACTACCGGTTGAACTAGCCGGACACACATTTGTATCTCACTAGATAGACAGAGAGCACCATTGTGCTTCCGTAAGTTACATTGTTAAGATACCAAAATAACAACCAAGCAGAATAAATGTATAATGAAGCGAAAGTGCTCCTGAAATCAAGCGTGTTCACCACCGTTAGCTTTAGCTTCCGACAGGCAGCTACAGCGCTGCTCGTACCGGCTACACTTCAGTCAGTTCAGCCAAGTTTTTATCAAAAACAGCAAAACGTCGAAACACAATATCGACATTAAATCCACACATAGGCTTCCGAGAACCTATAGATACATTCTACAGTAGAAGAACAACTTTGTGGACAAGGATGCAAACAGATACAACAGCTATAATTATCCGAGAGAAGGATCAGCTATGTACCCACCATGTCGGTTCAGGCAGAAAGGAAGACCGAGGGATTCTGGGTAGGGTAAATACCGCGAGGCTTGCAGCGTGATTACGTGGCTGCGCTTAAACCGATCTGAAATCAGATCTTACAGCGACTCACCTAATCCGGTTACGTATTTTTACAATTTAGGAAACTGACTTAAGATCAGTGCTGCAATCTTCACATACAGGAGTTGAATTAAGACGATTTGTACGTCACACTCAACTCGGCGGAAACGATTGCTTTTATTTTTCCAACAATTGGCAAATTTCCAAACTTTCTAATGAATAAACATTAGTATTAGTAAAGTATTATCTATAATACAACAAAATACATGTCTAAAGAAAACCTAATCGTAACTTTCCAGTGGATAAATTATTTAAATATCTTATGATAAACTAGAAACTTTTTTTATGCAATGAGTTCATTTATTTACAAAAGCATCACTTTGTTTGACAAAAGAGAACATAGTTTCAGTATTTTAAATAAAACAAATGTAAAAGGAAAGTTTGTATTAATTAGTATTTACAAATGTATTAGTAGTAGTTGTTGATTTATGATATTAATATTGTTTAATTTACAAAATTCCTATTAATTTGTATTAATATTTAAAACAAAATCATTTAAATAAAAAATATATACAGATATGACATTAAAAACGAACAGTGAATTAGTCCTAATTGAATGAGCCATATCCATTGTGCGCAATAATTCTTCAAGACTATTTTTTTTCCTTTTATAAAATTATGAATATTAGAAAAAGAGGTTTACAACAAACAGATTTTCGTCTGCATGTTATTCTGTCAAATACTGATGTTTCACAAAGTTCATCAAGGGTCACTAAATTTTCAGTCATTTTAAAAACTGAGATCCACCAATAGTTGTTCATTGTTATATTTATATTCTTGTGGATAAGGACCAAGTAGAAATTACTTAAAATCGACACAGAAAAAAAACTAAAAGATTTTTGCATTAAATTAGATAAGTGATGTCAACCTTTCATGAGAAAGAATGACATATTCATATATTGGAGAACAAAAAGGAAAAGTCTGGGGACCCTATGTGCAGCATGAAAGGACAATGTACAGTTCCCCACTGTTGGTCATTACTCATACAAGCAAGAACTTGAGTTGCATTACGGCCATATGACAATAATAAAACGATTGAAAGTGCCCTCTAAACATGCACTGTAGATGGATTTTCCCCATGATTCAAGAGTCAAGTGAGTCAATTAAACATTAGGTCTGTAGATGTTTGCATCATTATCTATCATTATTAAAACACTTATTTTGAACAGTGCTGCTTTATCCTACTGGGACTCGTTTGAGTGAGGCACACAGCCGCACAATATTACGTCACTTCCGTAAACAGGGAGCTTTAGGAAAACTGGATAAAAACTAGTGAATTGAGCTCAATTGAATCGAACTGAGTGTCTATCTATCTATCTATCTATCTATCTATCTATCTATCTATCTATCTATCTATCTGTCCAACTATATCTGGTTTGTAGTTTTACAAAACTGCACTTAGCAAATGTTACATAAAGATACGTTGCTAACAAGGAAACAAACTTATGAACCTGGCTTTAATCTTCAAACTGCCCCTCTCTGAGTGCTGTTTAAAGCAGTGGGCTGGCTCTACAAACTGACGTGTCCTGCCTCCTCCTCCTCCTCTACCTTGCGTCGTGCCGTGCCGGGCCGTGCTGCGGATGGGGGTGGGAGGTTGTTCGGGGATGGTGGGCCGGGGTATTGCGTCGCTCGGCTCTTCTCCGCGGTACCTTTGCTAGCTTACTGTCACCTGCTCGCATTCAACATGGATCGCTCACGAGAGGATGAAAATTAGCCGCCATCATTGTGGCAGTTGCTTCTGTTGGTAAATACGAGCCGTTCATAACAACTGTTGTCATCGCTGCAGCCAGGTGATGATTTCTGAGCTTTCGTGGGTAAACAGAGGGCCTGTCACTCTGCAGAGCTGTCAGCTTCTGTAGACACCGTTTGTGGAGGTTGCTGCGAAAAGGTAACCTAAACAGTTATGTAAATATCTAATATATGTTTGGGTTATCAAGTAGGGGCAACGTACATGTGATTTCTGTCGGGGCATAATGTGATTTGTTCTGAGATGATGAAGCTAACGTTAGCTACAGCAGCCTCTCTGCTGAATTATTACAGTTTTATTACTGCCTTGTCAAACTAGCAGACGTCTCCCTGAAGAAAGTGAGTAGCTATGGCTGAACAAGACGTTTGTCCTCACCTGGACTCAATAGGCGAGGTGACCAAGGAAGACCTTCTGCAGAAATCTAAGGTGGGCTTTCATTGATTTGCAGAAAGTGATGCTCAGTGCAGGTCATTACCTGTATGTCAGATGGCCAACACACTCCTGAAGGCTGTCATGTGACTAGTGATCAGTTCACACTATAATAACAACCACATCAGCAGTAATAAATGCTGATGCCTTTGTTTGTTGAGCATCCCTTGTGTTGTGTGTGCATATGATATTTTTATTTGTTTCTGAAGAGCTTCAGAAGAAGACAGCCAAACTTCTCTTTCTGTTTTTAAAGATGCTTCACTTCTCATCAAAGCAGCGTCTTCATTTCTTCTGCTCACAAATGTAGCGTGAAGTATAACGCCTTCAGGAACAAAAAGAGAAGTTCAGTTGTTTTCTTCTGAAGGTTCTAGGATCCCTGATCACTGATGACATTTTTACTTTATCACAGTCTATTAATATCCTCTTCTTCTTTCTGCAGGGAACTTGCCAGTCATGCGGAGCCGGGGGCCCAAACCTGTGGGCCTGTCTGCAGGTAAGGTCAAGTCCTGTTTTCATTGTTTAGTCATTGCTCTCTCAAAGGTTGGCTTGTTTTGCTTGTGCACCTCACAAAAAGGATGACTACCGCAACAGGATCTACTACTGCACTTACCGTAAATCATTTTATATAGCGAGGCCAGGTGAATGCTTAATAATTGATGATGAAGTGATACATAGATGTAGTTAGAGATGCAGCAGCTCTCAAGTTCAGGCAAGCGAGAAAGTTTGTCGATTGATTTTGAATGACGTTGACAGATAATGTGACTAAGTCTTTAAAAGATAGAAGAGAGGATTGAAAAGATGTAAGGTCATATCTCACATGGTGTTTCTGCTCTGTAGAATGACTGCCCATATGTCGGCTGTGGAGAGTCCTTCTCTGATCACAGCACCCTGCACGCACAGGTACAACCCTCTCACATTAGACATCCCTGCAAGCTTTTTTCCCTCCTGTCAACAGCCCACCTTTTTGGCTATTAGAGGCAACATATTGCATCGATTAACTATAAGAGAGTCCGCTGAGTGATTGTTTTTATGTTTACATTAGGCCAAGAAGCACAACCTGACGGTGAACCTGACGACGTTCAGAATCTGGTGTTATGTGTGTGAGCGGGAGGTGTTTCTGGACTCCAGGCCTGCCCTGGTGCCGGTACCTGCTGCACCCCACCACTGTAAAGCCACAGAGCAGGTATGAGTTCTGCTCAACTCATTATTATCTGTCTCTCCCGACTTGGATGAATTTAAATGGAGAAAAAAAAAGATACTAAACAGTATCTATTAATCATCTTCCTAGGAAGCAGCTCCTCCGCCAGTAGGCCACCCACTAAAAGCAGTGCCAATTGCTGTTGCAGAGGAGGAAGGTTCAGAATCAGATGAGGATGAGCTCAAACCCAGAGGTACGCTGTCAACATTAAATGAACTACAGCACATTTAAATCGCCTTAAATCGAACTCATGTGTTATAGTTGTGGTATTAAGTGCACATAACGTCTCAATAGAAAATCTTTAAGAATCATATTCAAACGATGGCACTGTGGCGAGTTACCAGCCCTGTTTCCTTTAATCCACACTAACAGTGATGGTTAATCTTTAATCTGAGTAGTATAGATGGACCACTTTCTGTGAAGGCAAAGAGCCTCATGGGTGATTCTTTTCATTATTGTCTGTAGGCTTGACGGGAATGAAAAACATCGGAAACTCCTGCTACATGAATGCAGCCCTTCAAGCCCTGTCCAACTGGTGAGTTCACTTCCGCTCATTATGTGACCAATTAACAGGGATGTTTCTGGTTTTTTTCTGTGTTCATTTACGCAGATTCCGTGTGTTTCTTTTCCCTCTCTTTCGTCACCAGTCCTCCTCTTACTCAGTTCTTCCTGGACTGCAGTGGACTGGTCCGGACTGATAAGAAGCCGGCTCTATGTAAAAGCTACCAGAAACTTATCTCAGAACTCTGGCATAAAAAACGGTAATAAACACATAAAAGTGTTATAAAACTTTCTAAATGGCACAAATACAGCTTTATAATTAGTATAAAATTAGACTACTAGTCGCTAATTAATCATTCATACTAAAATATCTTTTATTCTCATGACTGCTGCCCTCGCAGGCCCAGCTATGTCGTCCCTACCAGCCTGTCACACGGCATCAAACTAGTAAACCCCATGTTTCGTGGTTACGCTCAGCAGGTAGGGGCAAGCACCCAGCAGGTAACTACACCTGGCATCACTCAACAGCAGCTTGACACTGTCTTTTCCTTTGTTTTCATACCGTTAACCCCAGTGTATTTTTTATACACATTCTTTTAAAATAATTTGACTTTTGCAACAACAATTGTTCTATATGACCAAAAGTTGAGTATAGGTTGCTTACCCGTTTGTGTATTTTAAAGGATGGGATCACTAATGTTCAGTCTGTCACTCTTAAAACAGCTGTCAGGTGTTAATTTGAACATTATGTAAGAAACAGGTCCTAATGGCTGGTACGAAGGCGGCTAATGTCACAGCAAGCAAAAATGTTTTCAGTTCTGACGGGTGCCTGAATGTTGTTTTAAGACAAACTCGAAAAATGTGAACCTATCCTTTGACGGCTGGTTCAGGTTTCAAATTTTAGTGTTTTTGCAAAGACGGACAAAGTCATCGATGCCTTCTTGCCTCGCTGTGCAGGAAACAGTGGAAAAACTGTCGGAGAGGTGAAATATGCCCCGTATAATCACTTTTTATTTTTGTTTTTTACTTAAACTACATATACTGCATAAAATATACTTATATTAGCCCTGATATCCCTCTTAGATAAGTTTAGCAATATAGTTTTTAAAATACAGCAAAGCAGTTAGCTTAACTTAGCTTAGCTTAAAGACTGAAAGCATAAAGAAACAGCTACCCACAAGCTATAAAGAACAGGTTTTGTACAAATTAAACAAAGAAAATATAAGATGTTAATTAATAAGCCTTAGAGGTGCTGATAGTGTTACTATTCAACAAAGCTAAGCTAGCTGTTTCAGGACATGAAGCTAAGCTAATCAGCTGCTCACTTAGCATACAGGCTGAAGAGTGGCAACTCTCAGCAAGAAAACAAATACGTCCCTTTTCCTTTAATGAAGCTGCAAACTCCAAGCTCTCCAAACTGCTTACGGAAACACTGAAAAGGCATCCTAGACTTTGTGTGATTTCTTGTGAAGTAGGAAAAATAACCGGATTATCCCTTAAAATACACAAACAAATAAACAACTCATCATACTTTTGAGTTTGACTTGAGTTTGTTTGATTCTGAAAAAAGATTTTAAAAATTATGTGAATTATTTTGAAAATCCCTCCAGTTTTGTGCATGTTTGATTGGTTTGTTTGACTGTGAGTGATGTTAACAAGAGTTTGTAATGCGTTTTGTCTGTCTGTAGTGGGTATAGTTAGTGAACAGAGTATCCTTGTGTTGGTTCTTGCAAATACACAAAATGATTGCTTGTTACAAAGAATACATACGTTATATCTCACACATTTCTCTGTCCATCTTCTTTTTTTGAAATAGTTGGGCTTACAGACATTAACTTGTACTCCTGTTTCTGTGTATGTATCAATATGAGCGCATTCTCTCTTTGAGTTTCTTTTTTGTTTTTTCCTGCTGCAGGACACTCAGGAGTTCCTGCGCTGTCTGATGGACCAGCTGCACGAGGAGCTGAAGGAGCCTCTGACAGAGTGCAACATGAGCGGGGAGGGAAGCGACGGGGAGGAGAGAAGAGACGGAGACCGGTCCCCGTCTGAGGATGAATTCCTGTCCTGCGACTCTGGCTCCAGCAGCGACCGGGGGGAGGGAGGAGGTGTGGGCGACAGGGAGCTGCTCATGCAGGACGAGTGCGACGGGATCAGATCACCGGCGGGGGGAACGGTAGGTGTCACTACCGGTGCGGTGATCTCAGAGAAGGAGAGGCTGAAAGAAAGAAGGGTGTCCGGCTCACCCCTCCGCGGAGGCTCGCAGGAGATGGACGAGGATGCAGATGTGGACACGGCAGCTGAGGAGGGGGTTCCTGAGAGGGGAGAGGAGGAGGAGTCAGCACCAACCCCAAACACTGAGACCCAAAGTCAAGAGAACAACCAGACCTCTAGTGCAGGGCAAGGGCCGGTCCAGAGCAGCAACGTCACCTCAGGTGAAACCCCAGCAGGAATATGAAAGTGGATTTTTCAGGTTTATATTTCATATATATGATCTTTAGTGTCTAAACTGTCGGTGTTGTGGCTCCGATGTGCTGCTTTCTAGAACCAGACAACGAAGCATCAATGGCCCAGCCCCAGTCCACTCCCTGTAGTCCTGTGCGAACCCTCCAGGAGCTGCATCCCAAACTGTCCTCCAGTCCGCCACGCTCCAGCCCCCTCCGCTCTGCAGGGCCTGCGTATTCCTTCAAAAAAGGTAAGTGAATGTCAGAAGTTCAATTCTGAAGATGTTTCACTTTTCATTCAAGATGCATGATTATATTTACTGACTCCTGGGAGAGTCCCAGTTTTTTTAAATGTCTGCCTTGCATTTGCACCAATACACTATATGAGAGTTGGTAAAGACTCATTGGCAGTCATGAAAGCTTTGGAGACACATGTATTATGAGCTCAAGGCACCAATCTGATGAATTCAGTAAGAGTTTGAAAGGTTTTACATATGCAGGAGGCCACTTGTGGGCTGCAAGGTGGAGCGGTGGTTAGCATTGTTATGTCACAGCAAGAAGGTCGCCGGTTCACACCCCGGTGAGGACACCCAGGATCTTTCTGCGTGGAGTTTGTATGTTCTCCCCATGCAGCGTGGGTTTTATCCGGGTTCTCCGGTTTCCTCCCACACAGTCCAAAAACATGTTGAGGTTAATTGGTGATTCTAAATTGTCCGTAGGTGTGAATGTGAGTGTGCTTGGTTGTCTGTCTCTAAGTGTAGCCCTGTGATAGACTGGTGACCTGTCCACCCTGAGTCAGCTGGGATAGGCGTCAGCCCCCCCGCAACCCTAGTGAGGATTAAGCGGTGTATAGGTAATGAATGGATGGAGGAGGCCACTTTTCATCTTTAGATTTGCAGTATTGCCCTAATGTTCATAAGTATATGGATGACTTTAGAGGATGGACTGTACTGGTTCTGGAATGATCATTTGTTCTTGTGCATCTACTGCTTGTCAGCCATATGAGCAACTTACAGCCAGTTGCTCAAGAAACAGTGATATTGTTGAGGTTAGCTGAAAACTTTTGTCCAGGCTGAAATAACTCATTGACGATGAGATGGAGGTGGCACAAAATGTGATACAGATATCCTTGGTGCCCAGACAGTGTATCCCTGTGACTTTAGTAATCCCTTGACTTTTGTTTCATTGCCATCATAAGGCTGACATTTGTGGTTTTGATTAAAATGTCAGTACATACTTGTTATGACCTTTACTAATGCACCGGGAAACGCAAGATGTAACATGTTTAGTCTATCTGAAAAACTAGGCTCTGCAAGAATGGGGCCAAAATGATAAGAAAGGGCTGCTGAGATATTTTCGTCTAACAATAGAAGACAGAAAACATTTTAACAGAGAAGCATCAAATAATATTTCAGAGAATGGCAGCAAAACAAAACCCTGCTCTAATTTAATCTGCAGAATCAAACACAAAGACAGTACTAAGCTTCCTCATGAACGACAAAGTATTAGAAAAAGAAAAAGGAATAAATAAATGGCAGAGAACCGCTACAGGCTTTCTGGAAGTTACACTGGCTGGCTTACAAGAGACGCTTTTATCAGCGAACCGACAAAGACAAGAATGGGCTTAACAGAGCTGAAACAAGATACTGGCAAACACAGCATTTTAGTAACAGCAATCCAACAACCGGCCCAGCGGCCAATTTGCAAGAATCCCTGATGCTGAGGGTTGATATACAGCTCGACTGACGATCAGATGGAGTTCAGCTGTCGGTGATCTTGCCCTCCACTCATGTCTCAGTTTGCACATCCTTGATCCTTTTCTCAGCTCCTCCCCTCATGTCCCTCCCACCAGCGATCTGAGTGGAGGAGGCGAGGACGAGACACGAGGAGAGAGACGTCCTTGCCTCAGAGCTGCTGTTTCAAAGCAACGTCAGTTAAATGTGATTTGTGGCACCGCTGCATCATCTGTCTGTTTGTGTTACAGCCTGCTGCTGCTGTATTTAAGAATCTCTGCTAGATGAGTGTGATGGTGTTTATAAAAAAATACTGTGTATATTTACTTTAATTCATGTCGTCCAGATGCATTTTAGGGATTGAGCCATCCTTCATGAGGGCTAGCTAAGATTGATTTGCGGGTCACAGGGAGAAGGATGGAGGACAGAGGAGACATGAAGGCTCAAAATAAAGAACTTAGATGAGCTTGTAGGGATTCAGAGGTGTGTGACAGACCTGAATCACAGCAAAAGAGAGAGAGAAAGTCATCTTTCAGAGAGAATCGGGAGGAAAGTCAGTGGATGTAACAATGTTTGATGGATTGTCATAACACTTGTATGTTGTTATGACTTCTACTGTTTGTTTAGCACAATCAGGAGGTTGAAATTTTAATCAGCCTAATACTACATTTTATATCATATTGACAAAATCAAACTTACTGATTGTTGTTTGCTAATTATCAAACGTTAGCGTGGTAAACATGCTAAACATTGTGCCAACTTAAAATTCACATTTTAGCATTTTCTTTGGGTCACTGGGTCATTGGGTGACTCGGTACAGTCTCACAGGTCCGCCAGCGTGCCTTAAGTCTCTCCCATTAAAGATCGGTATCATCTGTGAAGGTTTTGGATTTTGTAAATGCTCACTCAAGTCTCATCAGAGTATCTGAACCACTGGTTTTTTGCTGCACCTTTGTCCCCACTACTTCCATGTAGCTTAACATAGCAGTATTCTTCTCTGTCGAAGGAACATCTGAGGTGTAACATCTGTAGTGTTAGTTTAGACCGAGGTGACTCCAGCCTCTGGGTTTTGTACACCATCCACACAATTTGCTATATGGTTCCCAGTTTTGCCGGCTAAAGATGTTTAAACGTTTGGAAATTACTCAGATTTAATTCTAATTTGAATAACTAAAATTACTGTTACTAAAAAGTAAGAATCTTCAGCGTACAACAGTCTTTCATTACAGTAGAGGCAGGAGACATTCTGTTGTTTACCCTTCCATCATCCTCACACAATAGTTAAGTTCTCTGGGTATACGGTGCATGTTAAGTCCAGATCAACAGTTTGTCCTCTAAAATCGTCCGTTGCTGTCGTGTGTCTTCCAGCTCAGCTGCTGCTCAGTGCCAGGAAGAAGAAGCAGTCTCACTATCGCAGCGTGATCTCTGACATCTTCGACGGCTCTATCCTCAGTCTGGTCCAGTGTTTAACCTGCGACAGGGTGAGATGTGCTGCACTCGTTTAAACACCAGGGGAAGCTACTTGCATATTTAGAAACGTGTTCAGCGTAATTACTTTTTCAGTAGTATTTGGTCAAAGTAGAATTACAAGGAAGTATGACTTGTGAAATCTTTAATTTTAATAATTATAAACAGCATTTTATATGATTTGAATAATTTGTAAAAAAGCAGAAAGGACAATTATTCACAAATAACTATGACATTTCTGAAAATTATTTGGTTTGCACATGTTTGTTTGAATTTTCTGCATAATATTTATTATTATTAAGTTATATTCTTTTGTTTATTTGAAAATAAATTGCTTAAACCTGTACTCTTACTGTTGGAGGCATGCTGTGTAAACCAGTTCTCTGAATGTGTGACAGGTCTCTACGACAGTGGAAACCTTCCAAGACTTATCCCTCCCTATTCCTGGCAAAGAGGACTTGGCAAAGCTCCACTCTTCCATCCATCAGAACCTGCCAGTCAAGACTGGAGTATGTCCCGACACTTACGGCTCACAGGGCTGGATCTCCTACATCATGGACTCCATACGCCGGTCAGTGGGCTGTGGTTAACATTTAGAAGAAGTGAGCATGTTTGAATTCTGTCGAATCCACTTGCATATATGTGGTCATGTGACTCATATCTTTTAATCGGGTGTGTTTCTGGTAAAGGGCTTCGTGCTGACGTTATCTTCGGATAAAGTCAAACTAAAACCAAAGCATGACAAAATAGGCAATGTCAGGAAGTATGACTGTGGAGTATGTTTTTTACAGAGAAAGTAGGCAAGTAGAGTCTTAAACTGTCATGCTCAGTTGATGAATGACCCACATTTTTCTGAAAATCAACAGCTGCGGGGAAAAATGAGAACTTGCAGTTTGGTCTTTTTGCAGTAGATGGCGCCATATGTGATTGTGAACACTATGCTGAAGGGCTTTGTCAGATCTGTCACGTTTCAGGTTTTGGCAAAAATGAAAAACAGCATGACAAATGACCCTATAGTTTTTCATAAATCACCCATGGTTCTTAATTTCATGGATATTTTTTGTGCCTTGTGCTCTAATGTGAAGGTTCATGACGCATGCTCTCACTTTGGCAGTGATTGGAAGTAGGGAAATACCACACCTGATTCCCTTTGATGATTCGTCAACTTCTTTTTTAATACTGACACAGCTTGTTACTACATGGCACCATGGATCAATTATTTGATTTATGTCAAAGATGGTGAAACTTTGCTTCCTTTAATAACAGCCCTGAGGACTTATGGAATCAGCCCAGGACTGATGTGTTGGAGATATTAGGGAGGCCGAGGAGCGCTCTGAAATGCTTGATGAGGTGAAGTGCTGAGCCACCCATCAGGAGTGATTTTGCACTTTAAGGAACTGTAGAGGGGTTTTGACTGGACTAGTTAGTGAAGCAATGGGTTAATCCTCATTTTATACGAGCCAACTGCTTTCTTGTTTAATTCCGTAAAAGTGGGCTCACTTCCCCCCAACTGTGTCATCTGCCTTCATCATCGTAGTTATTAGGACAGACATGTTGACACACTTCCTAGCTTCATATTTACTCATCGACTAGAAGTTCCATATTTCAAAATCACTGTCAATGCCGTGATTGTTGTAGACTTGAGGTTCATTGATGTAACACCATGACACAGAAGTATTATTCAGCATTTTGTCTGATTTGTGAAGCCAGTGAAGCATAGTTTGCAATTTTTACACATTTCAGCAAACATGTAATCTGTGTTTTCATATTAGCAAAGGGTCAAATGATTATGAGTAGGGTGAAAATGGCCTTTCCACTGTTGCCAAGAGCTTGCTCAAAGCAAGTTGTTCGGTTTTTCTTCTGAGAATTCTAAGGTCTTGACCTATCTATTTGTGCTTTTTTTCCCTCTTAGTCGCTATGACAGCCAATCAATCAAATCAAGATTTTGAGCAGTTCTAAAGAAGTGTACGTTCTTTGCGCTGTTTGCTGGCTGACAACTATCAGTGTCATCTTTAGCAAAACGTCTCTGGTAAACTCTATTCAAACTTCCTGCCTATCACCAGACGGCACAAAGACAAAGCTAGCGTGCAGTTAGTGGAGCATCCAGCAGCCAAAGAGCCAGATATTTCCCTCAGGAACTGTTGTCGACCAAAACAGAGCTAAAAGGAGAACCAATTTTGGGCTCCAGATGAACGTTTCTCTATGTTGGCTGAATGTGTAAATAGGCAGCTGCTTGCCAACAAGTTCACCATAAGACCTTAAAGTGCAGTTTCCAACTTTACTGCTCTGCCTTCTCCAATCCACTCTGTTGTTTCAGTCAGCCAAGTGCAGAGCATATTTAATTTGAAGAAATGGATGCCCCAGTGGCCTCGTTCTAGTAGTAAGAGCACTCCACTTGAGATGAGACCATCCGAGGAGCGAGCCTTTCAGGACGCTCAGGTGCACTGAGGCTGAAAGCTGCCTTTTGAAGTCTTTGCCATCAAAGACCCCTGCAGGAGCTAATATCAGTCCAGGCAGCATCGCTTTCAGGTTCATTTAATCATTACATGCTGCTGACCCACATGAAGGTCAGTTTTGTCAGTACGATCCATGTCAGGATGCAGACGAAGGAGGGCCTGTGGGTGTTTGTGCTCGTAATGATTACACGTGTTTGTGTTTGTGCCTTTGGACAGGTTTGTCGTCTCGTGTATCCCCAGTTGGTTTTGGGGGCCCATGGTAACACTAGAGGACTGCCTCGCTGCCTTTTTCGCTGCAGATGAACTCAAAGGTAAACAACATTAAAATGTCCCACTCACATACTACGATTGTTTTTATATGTCAGAATTGACATTTCTATTCATTCTCTCCTTTTGCAGGAGACAACATGTACAGCTGTGAAAGATGTAAAAAGTGAGTATGTGATTTAAAGTCTAGGTTGTTTTAAGAAGCAGTCACATGCTTCAAGTTAAATCATTCATTTACACTCAGTATTTATTCTTCATGTGCACGTATTTACACACTACTTTGTGCTCCGCAGGTTGAGAAACGGTGTCAAATACTGCAAAGTGCTTAAGCTTCCAGAGGTACACGTTTGTTCGTTCTTTACTCTTATCTCTTTCCTCCTGCAGATAACGAGTTTAGTTTCGGTTGCTGTTATCACCATAAACTGAGGGTTTTTTGTTCTTTTTCGTTTGTCGCATAGATTCTGTGCATTCACCTGAAACGCTTCCGACATGAGGTCATGTATTCGTTCAAGATAAGCAGCCACGTGTCGTTTCCGCTGGAGGGCCTCGACATGCGACCTTTCCTGGCTAAAGAGAGTCCATCTCAAGTCACGACTTATGATCTGCTGTCGGTCATTTGCCACCATGGCACAGCAGGAAGTATGAGATAGATTCATTTCCTACCGATAAGAGCAATGCACACATTATTTTCTCGGAAAGTAAGCAGTAGTTTACAAGTGCCTGTCTGATGCGAACTTGATTGTAAAGGTTTCCATATATTCTTCTTCTATATGAACGCAGGTGGACACTACATAGCTTACTGTCAGAACGTGATCAACGGTCAGTGGTATGAGTTTGACGACCAGTATGTGACCGAAGTTCACGAGACGGTGGTGCAGAATGCAGAGGCCTACGTGTTGTTTTATCGGTGAGCATGAAATTTACACCAAATCTACACCGATTGATTCGAAGTGTTGTTAACGACTGTATTTTTTCTGGACCGCTGCAGGAAAAGCAGCGAGGAGTCAGTGAGAGAGCGGCAGAAGGTGGTGGCCCTGGCTAATATGAAGGAGCCCAGCCTGCTGCAGTTCTACATCTCCAGAGAATGGCTGAACAAGTTCAACACTTTCGCCGAGCCGGGCCCCATCAGCAATCACACGTTTCTTTGTCAGCACGGGGGTGTGTGGTAATCGTGGTTTCCTTTTCGTGTTAGGTTTTCTGAGGTCAAACTGAGGCCTTTTTTTTTTTTGCTGATGAAACATTCACATGCCTTCTTAAAGGGGAACGCCACTGAGTCTACAGATAGTCAGTCATTTACTACTCAGGTCTGTGGAAGCAGTTTGAGGCTTTTGATGAGTTGCAAACAATGAAAAGTTACTTGAAAGACGTTACTTGAAAAAAAAAAAAAAAAAGACACATTATACATTACTTAAAAAGTAATTCTGTAACATTATTAACCCTCTGAAACCTAAGACATTTCTCTGTGCTTTTTGGTTCAGTCAATTTAATTCAATTCAGTTTAAGTCAATTTTATTTATATAGCGCCAGTTCACAGCATATGTCATCTCATAGCACTTCAGTTAGTAAGGTAAAGACCTTAGGTTTTTTAAACAGAAAACAGGAAGAAAGAAAAAAACAGAACCAGACCTACGGAAGGTGACTATCTGCCTCTATCAGTTGGGGTGAGAGTTGAATACACTCTCGTATTTTTACTCACGATGCATTAATTTTTCACTTGAATAGAAAGTCTTGCACTTCTGTGGAAAGAGTTCAACCATGACTAGAAGTGGAGAGAACTGAAAAAATGTCTTGTGTTTAGTGTAATATTAGGTTATAATGCCTTAAATCATAAAAAAAATAAAGGAAATTCATTTTATTTATTTATTTTACAGAACTTGGAAAAAGAAATCAATGTATACAACAAAATGAGATATTTTCCTCTGCACCTACAGTATTGAGACAGTTCGATTTTTATTCTGTAACTCCAGTCGTGACTTGATAATCCGACACTAAATGGTAAACCTTCTTTTATGTCGGATAGCAAGGCTGTCGGATTGTCAAGACGGAGGCTGAGATACAAGGAGGGCTTGATGCTTGAAGGGTAGTTTGTTGTTAATTTTTGTTCATATTTGTTATAATAACTAGTAGGGCTGGTCCCAATAGCACTTTCTGGTCTCTGGATATTCAGGCCCAATTAATGATGAATATCAGAATATTTGGAGCGGTTGGGAGGACACTTCCATGACGGGGGAGCGCTCTGACGGGGTGGAAGTGGCCGGAATGCACAGGCAGTACTTGGCTGCTGATGCTAGTTTAGGACAGCAGTCACACTTTTGTTTCCACCATCGGTGACGGCGGCGGGGGAATGGCGGATATGCTCCACTGTCACCATTTACTTCTGTAAACACTGAGCACACTCGCTGCATGTGACGTCGTCGTGTCCTCTTCTGTGCATGCGGGACACTTTTGGGTCGTATGAAGTTCACACAGCAGATCACATTTAATTGGAAATGTGAACGAACTCACAAATAATCGAATTTCACAAAAAAATCTGAATTGAGCATTAAGTCCTGCAGTCTAAACGAAGCCAACCTGTCGGATTGTCAAGTCAAGTGATATGCCGTTATCCTTATTTGTGACATAAAATGTCATGTCAGAGTCAGAATCTAAGGCTGTCGGTATGTTAAGGCCATTTTTAATGGGTTCCACTCGTTTTTCCTAAAAACCTGTCGGACAGCAAGGTTTTCAGATTGTTAAGGGTCGGATTATCGAGTCACGACTATAGTTAGCCTCCCATTTTATAAAAAATGTACACTTGCTTGCAAAAACATAGTTTAGAAAATTATATAAACCATTGGAAGTTGTTCAGTATGAAGCAGAGAGATGGTTTGTTTTTGCCAGGTGTAGTTTGGATGAGCCATTGCATTCAGCTCACCCACAGCTTCCTAAAACGTGTTTCTATCTTGTTTATGAAAAGTTATTTTCCAAATTATTTATCAGATTTGAATGTGCTGAATGATGGAGAGCAGCAGTAAAGGGAGGTTGCTGGCCTCAGTAGACGTTGCACCTTCCAGAACTGATAATTCCCAACATCCCCAAAAAACAAAGCACAAGGCTGTGTCCGCCCACAGAATTCCCCCATCAATACTTTCTGTGTTTTTCTTTTGGATTTGTGCGATAGCTGGCCCCGTTACGTGTCTTAATTAGAAAAACATGGCTGTATTGTTCCTGTGAGTTTCGTGCCATCATTACTCAAGAGGACTACAAGAATGAGGGTGTGGATTTTGTGTAGGAGGAGAAAAAAATCCACCATAGAGTTTTTACTGGTCTCCTGTCCAGACCAGGAAAGATTTCTTCATTAACCTTTACATGTTTTACCTCTCTACAGGGATCCCTCCTAATAAATACCACTACATAGATGACCTGGTTGTGATCGTTCCCCAGAACGTGTGGGAGTACCTTTACAACAGGTAAGCATGCTAGAATTTTAGCAGAATTCATGAAAATATTCAGTCAAAAAGAAACTCAAAAACACATTTAGTTCTTTGTCCACATCATAATCTGATTTTATAATAACATGTTGCCTGCAATGTGGCAGTTTGGAATAATACGATAAAAGTACTGGGACCCAAAACCAACTCTTGAAACCAGTAGAACACGACTGGTTCAAACACTCTGGTGGATGTAGAAAAACATTTAAACAACAACCCTCTAATTACAGGTTGGCAGCGTTTTGCTAACACGCTCACCACAGCAACTTTATGAGGTTATAAAAAGTCACTGTAGCTGTTTACAAGACAGATGGCCAAAAAACCATCAGTAGGTGCAACTCATGAACATCTTCAAATCGAAGCAATTGAACGTGCTTCTTCTTATTTCTTCCAGTAAATGTTATTATATATTCACAGCTGAGGACATATAGTGTGTAACACTGTATTTGCAGGTTTTCCTTGATCCCTTTAGATTCTATACTATGTCTGAATTATTCAGTTTATAGCCAAGATCTGTAAACCAAGGCCTTAGCTGAATGTTGATTGAAGATTTTCCCGTGTATGCATGTGTTCATATTCATACATCTGCATACATATGAACATGCATTCATATGTCTTCATCTGCGACTCTATCCTTGAGTTATATTCTGTTTAATTTTGTCCTCAGTTTTGGAGGCGGCCCAGCAGTCAACCACCTGTATATGTGCGCCATCTGTCAGGTGGAGATTGAAGCTCTGGCTAAACGCAGAAAAATGGAAATAGACACTTTCATCAAGGTAAACGCCTGCAATCTGCAACGGTTCACCTGTGCATGAATGTATCGTCATGCTTTGCGCTGAATGGGAATTTTTCTCTCGTCTGTAGCTGAACAAAGAGTTTCAGGCTGAGGAGGCTCCTACGGTGATCCTGTGTATCAGCATGCAGTGGTTCAGAGAGTGGGAGAGCTTTGTGAAGGGCAAAGACAACGGTACAAGCCTGCAGTTAGATAAAGACAGTCGCACATTCAAGTTCTTTGTCTTTCTCTCTTTACAAAATGCTTCTTGTTTTCCCAGAGCCACCTGGTCCCATTGACAACAGTAAAATTGGTGTTATGAAAGGAGGACACATACAGCTCAAGCAAGGTAAACCTTTGTACTGGTAGAGCAACGGTGGAAATGAAACGACTAGAGGGTCAGTTTTTACTCGTGCTTCTTGTCTTAGGTGCAGACTACGGTCAGATCTCAGAGGAGACATGGCAGTACTTGTTGGGTATTTATGGGGGAGGCCCTGAGATTGCAGTGAGACAGACCGTGGCCCCGGCTGACCCCGACAGCCTTCATGGAGAGAGGAAGATCGAGGCGGAGACAAGAGCACTTTGAGATAAAGAGGTTGGTATCCTTACTTGTTGGGAAACTCTGCTTATATACTTGTCAATCACAATAATCCCCCATAAGAACTTGCATTCAGCTATATGTTTGAGTGCACTGTGGGTAATGTGTAACAGTCTCCTGGAAGCTGTGGTCTTGGAGCATAAAACATTTCCAGCCACTTTGCTTACGTCAACCACATGAGTTCATAAATTCCTTGTGGTCAACAGAGGGAAAAAATATCTGCACATGTGGCCAACAATAATGGAGGCTATCAGACGGCGGTAAATTCACTCTAGAGAGCTGGACGTGAGGCCCCTGTTGGTTTTCATATTGTTTCTCAACTCTCACCATCTCCAGGATCTTCTGACTCCCCTTTCCACTCCTGCCCTCACAGCAAGCTGAGGAATTTGCACCTTGGTGAAGAAGCCCCATCGTGAGCACTTTGTAAATGTAGCAGCGTATTATTCCGAAGCCATGCCGCAAGAGGAGAAAAACGGTACCTAAATATCACATAGTTTAATTTATTGGGTAAAGCTGATCTTCAGTGTTAAGGTGTAAAAAAAAACAAAACAAAAGAAAAAAACAAGACGTCACGTCAAAATCTCTGGAGCTGTTTTTGGTAGCTATGGTGTCTCAGTGGCCGCTGTAGTGACTAGGTGTCATGTACTGCTGAGGTGGCCGTGGCAGGCGGACGGCTGCTCGAACGCAGAGCCCTGCGGAGGGCAGAGCTACAGTTTGATGTTTAGCTTGAGGACTTTTCTTCTTCACCGGAAGCAAAAAAAAAAAAAAACCAAGAGACATTAACAAGCTTTCTGTTGTATGCCTGTTTACTAGTTACATAGCAACAAGTTCAGACATGAAGTGAGAGATTTCAAATACATCAAACTCTTGCACCTCCAACCTTAAATACACAGTGCACTGAGCCCTCAGGAATGGAAGTCTTTTTTTGTTTGTTTTAACAGTGAAATGTTAAGATTAATGACCTATAAACACCATTGTAGGTTCGTTTGAAACTACAAAGCATGCATGCGTGGGTTGTAAAAGACGATTTTTCAGGTTCAAAATGCATGCAACTGCAGCTATTGTTTTGGATGAGTTAGTACATTTCACTGACAAGATGAGATGCTGAGATTTTTTTTTTGTTCCTTCTTCTTTCAAACAGACAATTTATCTGTTTATGTGCTCAACTATTTAAATATTGACTTGCTCCTGTTTAGTTTTTTTTTTTTTCCAAGCACTATCAAATAGGCATAAGGGCATATATAGATATAAATATTAACAACATAGAGAAATGGATGTTTTCATAAGTCCGAGGTTTGCACATCTGAGGGGTCACAAGAGAATTTTGCGCAACAAAATATCATAACTGGCTTTTCTGACAAGAGCTCACAAAGAAAGTTTGTAAAGCTTCAAGAGCATCAGTGTAAATGACCGTACGTTAGTTTTTCGTAGAAATACCTGTATTTTCATGTAGACCAGTGATGCAGTTTTTGTTAAACCAAGAGATGGCAGTGTTAAATATAAAGCTACTCCGCACCATGTACCAAGTAAGCATTAAAGAAATAATCACAAATAATTAGCACAATATGGGAAAAAAATGAAAACCTGTTACAGAAAGGAGTCATTTCTGATAGTATTTGAGTGAAATTCTATTTTTTTTATTTGGGCATATTTTCCTAATTGTGCACGTTTGGGTATCAGGTCATTCAACAATCCAAATGTTACAGTCTGAAGTATTTGCTTGCAAAAAAATATGTGTGCAGTTGTAGATTGTGTTACTGTTGAAGATGCGTTTTAAAAGTTTATGTACAATTCATCCTCTCCAGCCCAATTAGTACACCACGGCTTGTTTACTTAAATTATGTAATGGTGTAAAGTTTAGATTCCTCCGCTCACAAAGCAAGTGATGAATCAAAACAGTCTTGTAACTACAGCGCTCTGTGTTGAAAGAAACAAGTCATCCAATCATCTTTGAGTCACAAACAGAGCAGAGCACTGGAACAAGTGTGTGAGACACACTGACTTCTGTCTGAGTTTCTCAGAGGAGTTTTATTTAATAATTGTTTGCTGGACCCAAATTCATCAAAAGAAAGCTCACATGTTTTCCTAAATTGTGCAGCTCATCTTGCAGCATAATCAATGCAAGATTTATGATCCAGGTTGGAAGCAAAGAGAAAAGGCAGTTATTATTACTAAATCCCCTGAGCCACGTTACATAAAGAGTTAATGCACCGTTACTACATTCGCTTCAAATCTTTTACTTGACTAGCAATCATTAAGGGAGCATTTATATGCATCAGACCCTCACAGAGAAAGAAACCCTGCAGAATTAGAAGAGAAATACTGCTGCTCCACTATTACCAGTGTACAGTAAAGAAAAAATGTCTTCAAAATGTATAATTTCCAAAGCCAAATAATAGAAAATGGATGTGAATGCTGATTTTAATCTTTAGATGTCATATAGTACAGAGTTGCTACTGGTTCCAGAAGGGTTTTCCCCATATTTGTTTCCATTTGTCCTCTTAAATCATAAATTTAACTCTCCCGCTGAAGCCACAAGTTTATGTTTATTTTCATTTCGTTCTTAGAAGTCATGTTTTGTCCATTATTATTGTCACGACAAACTGTTTTAAATGCAACAAAACCCCCTGAGCTCCTACTGCTGTGACCCTGGAGCAGAGGCCAGTCAGAGGCACAAAACAAATGGCCAGCAAATTCAAAACACCATGATTGGACATTTCTTGCAGAAGTGTGCCTTGGGAGTCGTAGGTAACTTCTCCCCTCAACATTTTATGTACACAGACCTACTGGGACGCAGTTAACCGTTTATACTGATGATTCAGCCGGGAGACATTCCTGTCAAGTGCTATGAGTCAAGCAACATTTTCATAGGAAAATCGATGGGTCTTTCAAACAAATAAATGGGGCTTTCACATCTGGAACCAGGGGTGCTTTAAATAGCGGCTCCTATTTCACCACTCTCTTGACCAGGGGACAGTCATTCTTACTTCTGCTTCCTTCCCTTATTTGTACCAGCCTTAGAAAAAATGAGATCTGAAGCACAGACAAGCAAACTGCCAGCTGAAATGTAATAAAATATAATAGTCTAATATTTCATGATCTGCAGGACCATCAGCACGTTGAAACAGGTTCAAGCACCTACACACCCACACTTTTCTTTTGTAATGGTGGAAAATTTGCATTTACATTGTTTGGAAACCTCGGCATTCATTTACATCGACTCTAGATAACTCTAGAGCCGTGAAACATTAAACTCTCAGCCGTATTTCACTATAAGATCAATCAGAAAGGGTGGCACAAAAATTCAATCAGAATACGTTGTTTGTGTTCATTGAGATATAATGTAGGAATGGACATAAACTCAGAAAAGTATACGAGTCTATTAATTAACAGATGTGAAAGAAATTAATAAATTTGAAATCACTCAAACTTGCTTTCTTTAAGGGGCCTAAATAATACCACCCTTATGTCTGTTCATTAAGTATTAAGATACAGCTAGCAGTTAGTTAGCTGTTAGTTTATAGACTGGAAGTACAATTAGCCTTTTCTGTCCAGACCTCAGAAAATCCGCCCAACACCTCTGAAGTTTACTAATTAACATATTAAATCTTGTTTGCTTAACTTGTACGAAAATTTAAACTTAAAAACGACAGAAGGTAGAGCTAGCTGTTTTCACCATCTTCCAGTCTTTATGCTAACTCAAGCTAGCTGCTGGCTAGCTGTAGCTTCACAGTTAGCTTATCCTGCAAGGTAAAATGGAAAATCTACATCTTAAAACCTTTTATATAAGTAAGACTTAGTTGTGAAATGTCTATCTCTACATTTAGGTCTACTTTGAAAATCTGAACATTGTCATAGTACAGTTTCAAAAAGCTCAACAGATATTAAGAGGTGTAATTATGAGAGGCGGGATTTGCCAAATAGTTTCCTGACAATATATCTAACAACGTAAATAGAGATTGACGCAAAAATATCCAACATGAACACGTTTTATTTTCACCACAGATGTTTTGACCTGTCTATGTAAGAAAATCTCAGGTGTAACTGATAAAGTCAACTGTGTTCATTCAAGTTTGACAATAAGCTAAGCTAAAGTAGCGCTTAAAAGTCCTTGACCTGGAACTGAAAGTCGGCCGGTTGGCAGCGTTTTTCCCTATTTAAACCTTCTTTATGAGGAAAAGCCAAAAACAACACTGCATTTTATATTTTCTAAAAATCAACACTTATTATTCTGTCCATTTTTATTAGCTATTTTACTTTTTATTTTCAACTCGAAAATTTAAAGCTAATGGCTGCTTTCACACCTAGCTAATCTCACTATAGTGGCTAATAAAAAAGCTAATATTTTCCCAGCTCTCTCAGATGAGGGAATAAAATTAAGCGTATTATTCTAACTTTTTTATTTCTTTCCACCATTTTCCCTTTCCCAACCAGTCGAGGCAGATGGCAGCCCTCTCCTAGCCTGGTTCTGCTGGTTGTTGCTCAAATTTCAAAAAAGGTTTTGCTATAGAGCATTGCCAATTAATCTGTCAATTATTTTCTTGACTTAACAATTAGTTGTTTGGCCCATAAAATATAAGAAAAAGTGAAAAGGGTGAAAAGTGTTGATCAGTGTTTCCCAAAGACCAAGCTGATGCCCTCAAATGTCTTATTTAAGTCTAGAAATCAAAGACATCAAGTTTACTGTTGAAACCAGAAAATATCCACATTTAAAAAGCTGCAGTCAAAGCTTTTTATGTCAAAATGTCTGCCGTGCCTGTGGACTGTGTTTGAGCTGATGATAATTCATGCCTCGTGTTTTAATTTTTTAATTACATTTTTTTAATCTATTCAATACTTTTAATAAGAAAAGCCACTGATTTGTCCGTTCTGTCTGGTGTAATGTTTGTTCTTTTCACACATTTCCGGACTGTATCTACAAGAGATAGTATTAATACCACAGTTACACGTGTGCTATGTTTAGATACTTTTTGGGGGATTAAGTGCAATGAAATAAAAGACAAATCTTTGTGCAATCTTAGCTCTGTCGTCAAAGCGATACTGGACAGTTTGAACAGCTGACAGTAAAGACCGGGGCTGTGCAGTTTATTGTAGCGCCACGTTAAAGGAGTCTTGAGTGGCGGTTACATAATTATTCTCACCTGTGAGGTTGTTTGCTTGTGTTACAGCACGTAGCTATGCGTGTGAGATTTCCATTTCACTGCATTGCTGTGGTTGGACAGTTAATCAGAAATATCATGCCAAGCAACGGGATGTCATTGACTCATGTTTTCCTGGTATTTGACAGTGTGTGGCTCTTGTGGTCATGACAGTGGTGATGCTTTGATAACATGGGAGTTGAGTGGTCGACCTCAGTTCAATGGGATGTCTTAATGTCTGTATAATTGATGTAATTACTTATGACTGGTTTAATGATTAAAATTGCCTGGTCTTGATTTTGAACTTGTTTTTTTTATTTTTTGCTGTGGTTTAACAAAATGAAACCTTGAAGCACTAAAAATGCAAGAAAACAAAAGATGTTTCCAGTTACTTTTGGATAAATATTTTAAACGGTGGTCGAGTTCCTTGCCATGGGGAGGACTGCTAATCCTGTAAAAACTCCTTTATTGCCATATTATAAACTGTGATAATGTCTTTTGTCAAATAAAATTACACAGATGATGCATTTATAACAGACAGCTTGTGTTACGACCCGCGAGCAGACAATTTCGGAGCTGTTATTAGCTTTTTTAATGAGAGTGGGAGTGCAAGAAGATCAACACCTCTCCCGTGTTTGTCTGTTATATATGAAACTACAGCCACAACACTGTTATTCTCCCGTAAAGACTAGAAATGGGGAAACAGCTGGGCTGGTTCTGTCTAAAGGTAAGAAAATCTGCCTACCAGCAAATCTAAAACTCATGAATGAATGCATGATTTTAATTTTGCGACACACTGACACAGTGATTCTATTTATAGAGTGACATCTGCTTTCTTTATAAATTCCTTTCTGTGGATTATTCCTTGAAAGGATGTGAGCAATAGATGCTGTTTGTTATACATGGGAATTGTAGTATGTAGGGTTTTTTTTTGGCTGTCTACCCATGATGAAGTAGATTCACAACCAGGGAAAGAAGACCAAATATCAATGAGCAGCAACAACCACTGGTTCACTGTGGGTCATTTGCCTTTCCAACAGACAAATAAGATTGATATTATTAACCTAACAAATTTGAATAGTAAGATTACGACATTACAATAGTAAATAAAACACAAATGTATTAAGATTCAAAATGAAGAACCCAACAAATCCAAGGATTCCCTGTGAGCAAAGATATTTAAGAACTGAAAGAGACCTTCAGGAGAACCAGGCTCAGGTAGTCAGACAGGCTTGACTAGTTGGGGGGAGGGTAAAAAGTAAAGGATAGCAGACACCAATAGACAACAAATAACAGATTGGTGGTGGGACTAGTAGCAGACCTGAGCAGAGCCACAAATACCTGCAGAGAGGACAAACACCAGACTGATGGAGCAATAAGCAATAAAAAGTTTAATAAGCAGGAACGGGCAACATCACATAACAGCAAGTCTATAAAAATGGGTTTTAAAGAAGCCACTGATTCTGTGAGCCCAACGTCATCAGGCAGGTTGTTTCAGAGTCAGAAATGCAAGGTCACCTTTAGATTTAAACCTCAACGTTGGAGCAGCAAGAAAGGCCACACCTGAGGATCTGAGGCTGCCAGCTGGCTTATGTGGTGTCAGTATTCACTGACATAATGAGGCCCTTGAGGTGTTCTACCTGCTTTACATAATTATTGATGGTACCTGTGCCAAAAACGAGCTCAGACCATCATTTTTTCCATCTGATACTGTGCCTTAAATGAACTATCTTGCAGAAAACCAGGAGCTGTATAATATTGTAGTGCAGGAGCAGTGGCCACACATGAACAGAGAAGGGGTAGAATGTGGGGTTAATTGGGATTTTTCTGCCTCTGTGGCATCGATTCTGACCAAGTCTCTGGTCAATACTGTCTTCTGAGCTCCCCAAATTGATGCAGTACAATACTCAGGTAGCGCAGATAAATCAGCATCTTAATATATACACCAGTTACTACTTTTCTTGAAGCGATGGCAGCATAATTACTGCTCATGTGGAGTAAAAATTGAATCAAGTGGGAATTAGAAATGACATCTGTGCTCTCCTTTTTATTGTCTTCTGCTGAAAAATTATAGTTCGGTATGAGAGGCACAGAGAGAGAGAGAGAGAGAGAGAGGGTTCACCTGTTTTAATTTTAGAAAGAGAGCAACTCTTAGATGAGGAGCTGTGATGTCATCTCGAGTCCCATACGTATGCTGAGCTGTGTCGAGCCCAGTCAGAGGCAGACCGAGAGGGAGGCACACCGGGCTGCTGGCAGGACACGATGCACATACGGAGCGTTGATGCAGACAGGAGAGCCGGCTTTATTCAGGTAAGAGCCGTAAACAAAACTGTTTCTGAGGGCTGACTTGTGTTTATGTGTCTTATTTACATGTAAATATAGAAGCACACATGCACGCAGATGCAGCATCTGCCCACCTCACGTCATCACAACACTGGCATGTTTCCTGCACTGCATGTGTCTGAGCACGAATACAAACAAACGCAGCTTTGATAGATTACTGCCATGAAGGTTACATGGAGGCTGGGAGGTACGCCGTGCAGGGTGCATTTCACGAGCCACCAGATATTATGATGAATAATTCAATAGGAGTAGCTGTCCAGGCAGTTGAATATCAAATCAGCAAATAACAATACAGTGACAATCCAGGACAGCAGAGGAGTCTGTGGCTGCCTTTATGAGGGATGCCCCTGCTGTGTCCATGCACCGGGACAGGATGGGTGTGGCACATAGCAGCAGCACGGCACTTGTCCTCTCCCGTCCTCAAGTCGTTTTCACTCCTGCCAGTGGGTCTCTGTGCAACAGACAGCTTTGGATGATGAAGGTCAGACAGTAGATTCGAGGGGGCAGGTTGACGTCTGTGTTAATCAGCTGAAAGAATTACGCAGGGAAGTATCTGCGGCAGTGTGAGAGCAGACTGTCCTGAAGGAAAAATCAGTCGCACAGATTCTGTTGTAGCTGTTCCTAATGTGTCCAATGAGCAGAAGGTTTTGTCACATCGAAGCCTCTGTGATCTCCTTTTGTTGCTACAGCTGTCAGAGCAAACTGGATTCTGTCCTGGTTTATACATACATTTTTAATATTCCAGATTATCAACACTTGAGTGGTTCCCCAATTTAACCTCACTGGTTACCTACTTTCTTGCTGTGCTCGCAGCAGTCCTCTGGGTTGTTTTGGCAAAAGGTTAAAACTGGGCCATAAACTTGCTCAGAATTGTCACTTTGGGTCGAGTTTCATATCAGATTCTTAGTTGTTTTTCATACTCTTGCACCACAAGTTTGACATTTTGCAATCTCTGATCTGGGACGCCTCCTCAAGTCCTCTGGCATTAATCTTTTACTTGTTTCTCAGTGCTGGACAGAAAAACTAATCCGAGAGCAGCTGAAGATGTTGACATCTTGAAATGTTAAAGCTATCTCTGTAGCCAATGTTTTGTTTTAATGAATCATTTTATTGTCAAGTCAAACGTATTGTTGGATTAAAACAGCAAACTATAACACAAACCTGAATAAAAAGACAGTAAAATAATAAATATATATAAGATACAACACAATCATGTTGTAAAGCTGTACTTGTATTTATGTATTTTCATCCCTTTTATTGCTCTGTTGTCTTCCTCTCAGGTTGTTTTACTCTTTATATCTGTCTTATGATCACTAATGAAGTCTAATTGATTCATTGGCGGGCGAGGGAACAACGTTTAGTCCTTCAACTTTGCCTGAAAAGTGAAAAATGAATGTACAGTATATCGATCTGCCGCCCACTAACCTTCCGTCCGTTCCTTCCCTCAGGCATTTATTAAAGCTTCTGTGACGTCTGCGCTCCATCAAGCAGCAGAGAAGAAAACCCAACATGGCAGTTGAAGTGATTCATGTATCAAAGCGTCCAGTCTGAGCAGACCCTGTGGCCACTATAAAGCCAAACCAAAGTGCTGCAATACATTCAGAGGAGCCACCAGATGAGCTGTTTCCTCTGACAGAAGACTTGCTGGACCGACTGCAGCTTCCTGATTCAGCTCCTCTCTTTTCGAACTCTCTCTCTTCGTGATTTTTTTCTGCAAAAAGCGACTACTGTAAATATTTACATGCCGTGTCTGGCAGCTGTGAGAGACACAGAACACCTTGAGGAAGACCGGTTATGACTCTGCTACTTCTGGTTACCCTCGCCGAGCCCTGCAGGCAGGCCTGGAAGTGAGAGTTCGATGAGCAGCTGCACTTCTTGTTTTGTGGAACTTTGTGGTTCACCTCGCTTTACCCCCAGCATGTCTCTGTCTTTTTAACGTTTTTTTTTTTTAACTTCCTTTTATTGAAGAAACAACTCATACACATATTCCAGAGCAAAAACGTACTCATTTACATTTACCGAGGCAGTGCTGGAGTCTAACTGTAAAACTCAGATTTCCCTTTGAGACCTAACAAAATAGATAAATGCTGAAATACATTCAACCCTTCTGCAATTATTTTGCATCACCCTTTAGTAATATTAATATTAATGCCCGTTATTTATTTATTCTCCTCAGTGAATAAACATGAAGGGAAAAAAATACACAGTGCACTTACAAGATAGAGCAAACGCAGTGCAACCAAGCACGCAAATAAAAATGAAAAAATCTTAAAGAAAAGTACGAATATAGGAATAAAAACTGATTAAAGTCAAGTTTAGTCTCTAAATTGTCACTAAATTGCAATTTTTGTCTAATTTTTGCAGCTGCATGTGCTTATAAAATGTGTAAAACTCCAGAAACTATACATGTCATAATTTGAAAATATAATACCCCATTCCTTCTGCATCATATTACTAGTAATCTGCATCCCGGTGCATGTAAACACATTAATGAATAAGTGAGTGCATTACTGATGATGTATCTTACTCCTCACCTGTGAAGTCTGCAGGTGAATGAGTGAGGATGAGCATATCTACTGACCCCTACATGTAGAATAACTGTGTCTCCCTGTGTAATCTGTCTCCTGACCCGTTTGCACACAACATGGGCTGCGCTATGTGTTCGCAGCTGGTTGACATGTGGACCGTGAGGGTGAGCAGGACCGGCCGCAGGGCCATGGAGCTCACCGCCTACCCACAGATGCTCCAGGGAGGCTACCACAGAGTGACGGGCCTCCACTACATGTCCTCCTTCTCCGACGCCGAGGACTGCTGTGATGACACCAGCTCGGGCAGTTCGCTCACTCTGGACTGGCAGACACAAGCCAATGATGGCTGACAGCTGACCACGAGGCGTTGTGATGCAAACATGTAACTAAACATGATGAATTACAGTAAATGTGGTTATATCTCTTCTTTTTCTTTAGATTATGTCTTTTTTTATCAGACGTATTCAGGTATTTTACTTCAGTCAAAGCATCAACATGTAAAAATACACGAGTCATGCATTGAAAACTACTGAAACAGAGTACATTACTCAAGTACTACACTGTAATACAATCCCACACATACTTTGCTTCAGTAGTCCTATTTTAAACTACTTTACATCTCATTTTGGTATATTTTAGAGAGAAAGGTTGGACTTTTTATTCCTTAACCTTTATCTACAGCTGGTTGTGGTTTAATATAAGAACATGCAAGCAATCTTTAACATAGTACAATATGCTGTATTAAGTAATTAAAAGTAACGATACTCCAAGTATTCAATAGAGCAGTGGTTCTCAAACTTTTTGAGCCACGACCCCCAAGACAACATAAGTTTGTGTTCGTGACCCCCCAATCTGAATTTTTAAGATATCATGAGTAATAACTTTGTTGTTCATGCGTTAAGAATTAATGTGTTAATTCCACAGATTGATCTCTATACATTAATTACATGAATTTTCTTTTGAAGGAATGAATGAATTGAATTGATTTCGACCAAATGAAAGTGAAAAAAATAAAATAAAAACGAAAGAAAATAATTTTAAAAAGCGCATTAAAAAAGAGTGGGGAAAAAAAATATCAAATAATCAAATCACAATATTAACAAGTCCGAAAAAGGAGTGGAAAGAAGTATACACTTTTAATTTTGACAGCCCTAATACCAATTTATTTGATAAATGTAGGCCTTATTTTATTTTATGTTTTTACAATGATCTGATAACCCCCTGAAATTACCTTGGGACCCCCATGGGGTCCTGACCCGCAGTTTGAGAACCACTACTATAGAGCATTAAAATTCTGTATTAAAGTTAAAGCACCATTAATAATAGAACACAGATTTACTGAATAAACCACAAAAAGGAACGTCTGCTTCACAGGTACTTATTTAAACATACTTGTGATACTTCTGTACTTTTACTTAAGCAGAAATCTGAGCGTGGCACTTTGAGCTGCAATTGAGTGTTTTGAATACCCATCAGCAAAGTGTACTTAGAGAATCAGAAGTAAGAGCTGGATTACTATGAATAATGTGGAAGTAGTATTTTGCAGCTGTCGTTGGCTGAGGAGCTGAGGATACAGATGTGACGTTTATTCAAGCAATATATCATTTTTAAAAATGATTAGGGTGAATATATGATATATTGTGTATAATTCTAATCTTTTCTTTTTATAGGTTTTTAGTGTAAAGTCATAGTCTGAACAGCGAATAAGTACAATATCTGAACATCTGCCTCTGAAACATTTCAGAGTATAAGTAGAAAGTATCAGAAATTAAAATTCTCCTTAAGTATGAGCACGTCTGTATTAAAGTACAGTATTTGTATAAACTGCTCAGTTGTACGTAGTAAAATGTTTTCATAACACTTTAATACGTAAAACGCTGACAGAATGTGATGTTGCGCAACCACGGCACAAGATTCTGAAACCACCAGAATCTCGATTGCAGAGGAAATTTTCCTTGTTTTGCAACGAACTTCATCTCCCATATTGTGCCAGCAGACTCAAGTGAAGTCATTTTTTTCCAGCGTGACCACAACAATACACAAAGACATGTTGGCTCCACAAGTCAAGCTGTAGCAGTCTTACACAGACCTCTAATCATGACCCTCAACTGTCCAGCTTTTGTCTTTTTTGGGGGGGAAGGGGGCGGGACAGTAAAAAAAATCCACTTTTAATATTCTTATATGCCATAATACCAAGAAAACCTGACATTTGTAACCCTGACTGTCAGAAATCGGCCAGTGAACCCAAGTGTATACACTGAGGCAGAGTAACTAGTTTTAATTGATGACAGACTGGGTATTGGGGAATAAGATGGGCTCAGGTCCACAAAACACAGGAAAGGAGCTGAGCCAACAGCAGGAACACTGAATAGGATGCTGGGAACTGGGGCTGAGGCTTGGATTAGCAGCTGGAAACTGAGCTGAGCCAGTGAAAGAGGCAGAACCACAAGGCAGGAGGTCTGAGAACAGGAGCTGAGTCATGCACAGACCCTACGAGCAGAGCGTGTGTTATAGCGGAGGGGAGATGGCAGAGTGGAATATTTGAAGCAAGCTTGACAGTTGTGATGTTGTGTAGCTTGTGGCGCTCTGCTCTGGCTTCAACACACCTGTCTGCACTCCTGCACACAGACACAGACCCACAAATCAGGAGAGAGAGGCAGGGAGAATGTGTAGCTGCAGGCAAGGAGGGAGTGGAGTCAGAAATGGGGAGTACGACACTCACAGCCAC